TGCTGTTACTATAGCAACTACAGTGTTACTACAGAGCTTTAAGATCTTATTGTAAAGTGTTACTTTATATTAAACCATTGTGTAAAGTGTTACTTTACAGTACAACAATAATATTTTGGCGCTATTGTTTACATTACAGCAAGTTATTGTAAAGTTGTACTTTACATTACAGCAACATATTGTAAAGTGATACTTTACACTAAACACTTTTGTAAAGTGTTACTGTAGATTACAATGGTTTGTAAAGTGTTACTTTACATTAAACCATTTTGTAAAGTGTTATTTTACAGTACAACCATAATATTGTGGCGCTATTGTTAACATGACATCAACTTATTGTAAAGTGTGACTTTACAGTACAGTAACTTATTGTAAAGTGTTACTTTACACTTCAGCAACGTATTGTAAAGTGGTACTTTACATTTAAGCAACTTAATGTAAAGTAATCAACGTACGAGGACTCTTGACTGCCCACTTGGTTGTTTACATGAGGAAGAGCTAGTTGGAGTCTGGAGTAATGTAGCGAGAAAGTGGGGCGGGAGTCATGCGGGGAGCACGGCACAGCAAGCGAGTCTTCCAGCTCTATATTTATGTGAGGGATTTAAACCCCTGTAGCACGCCAGTCATCTGACCCAATTACAGCTCGGATGGGAAGCCAATGATGAGGTGTCACTCAAGTCCTACAGCTAGTGTGCAGCTTGAAACCAATCCAGCGCTGCCTGGCTAGACCAGAGGGAAGACCGATACAGTAGAGTCAGGCTGTTATTCACAGTGGTGTATTGGTGAAATAACAGAACATATCTTTGTGAAAGATGAAACATTTGCATTTGACAAAGACTACGTTTCAACTGTCAGATATACAGTAAATTGTGAAAAGTTTGTGTATGTGTGTGCGTGCGTGTGCGTGTGCATGTGCATGTTTGCATGTGTGTGTTGCTTCGGTTCAGTAAGAGGTGAGAGGTTAGTCCCACTCTAAACATTGAGACAATGTCTAATTGGACTCCATTGTGGTAATGGTGCATAGAGACCATGTTGTTCAAATAAACACTTCATGTAAATATGTGAAATAGCTAAAGTGCTTGATAAACTTACGGTCCAGTGTAGTTTGAACAAGACGGGGTACTATACTAATAAATTAACAAAGGTCCTATAGTGACTGAGTTGTTGGCAGGCTGTTTCAAAAGTGCCCTGGGCTGGTCAGTTGCCTACCTTGTGACTTCACCCTAATGCTTTATAATTATTGGGAACGAAAGAAAGAGAAAGAGAGAAAGAGAGAGAGAGAGAGAGAGAGAGAGAGAGAGAGAGAGAGAGAGAGAGAAATAAAGAGAGAGAGACCATGCATGCAGAAACTTGAACGCTTGAAACATCTGGGTTACAAACACAACATCTATGGTCCAAAATGGCATGTGTTAATTCTCTAGTCTTTTTAAATGTCCACCTCAACTGATACTGTACAACAAATGTGTCTTCTTAAACCTCAATCACTATATTGACTGAAGGAAAATTTGACAACAGAAAATCAAAAACTGGGCAGACAGACAAACACACCACATTTGTTCACCCCAATGTGTCTTTAATCACATGGCCTGGAATAACATTTCACTATGTAGGCGTTTGGCTCATTTAAAACGAGGAAACCAAGTGGAAATAGTAAAAACACAAGACAATAAAACACTAAGAAAAGTTACTTTGGAAGTGCTGGATTTGTAATCCAGTTTAACAAGGTTGGGAGTGACTCAAATGTTTCCCCAAAATGTACAGCCTCTGTGGAAGCGTGCTGCCCATTCATGTCGCCAAACAGGAACATAGTTAAGCAGCTATTGGGCGAAGAGGGGAAACATACACTCGAGATAATGGCTTATTTTTGGGACCATTCTGGGACAAAGAAAAAAGTGCTTGAAAGCCGGGGTGTGCATCTGATTTACGAGTCCTTCTTGAATATCTCCAGCTCTGGGCCTGTATTCACAATGCCTTTCAGAGAAGGAGTGCTGATCTAGGATCAGGTCGCCTCTGTCCATATAATAATATGAATTATGGTTAAACTGATCTTGGATCAGCACTCTGAGACACTATGTATACAGACCCAGAGCCTGTCCTTATACCCCACCAGGGGCGGACTGGGACCAGAAATCGGCCTGGACATTTCTAACACACCGGCCCATTTCTTTCCATCAAGGCCCCCACACAGGCCCATTTTTTCCTGAAGGTCCTCATTATTATAAAATAATGATATTTCCGCTCTAAAATCTCACTTTAGATAGGCCCACTGGGCTAAAGATGGACCAGCCCATCTGGCATTTGCCAGAATTTCCCTATGGTCAGTCCGTCTCTGACCCCCACTATTGCCCAAGTCTGAACCTGAGACCAACTGAGACATGGTCCTTCTAGTGGCTGTCATTATCCGTGAATGTCACGTACGGCTGCCAAGTTGGCTGCCAATAGATCCTGTCTACTAACGCACCTCTCCTATTTCTGCTGCTCTCTCTCTCGTACAACAAAAACACAGTGTGGGTCCACTGCAATGCACTTTGCTGCACTTAACTCTAGTTGAAAGATAAATTGATTATTTCTTGGAGAGAAATGGTGAGATTATGACATCCCGAAAGGGCATTAGGGTCGAGATGAATGTCTGTCAAGCGTATTTTGGAGAGTTTTTGTGTCAGTTCATGCCAAAATGAATCACTCTGTAAATTGAATAGGCTACTAAGGGAAACCGACACCTTCTGTTAAAGGGGGAAACTGCAGTTGCTACATTTTTGGATATATAAATTCATTGTATGTACCCAGAAATGCCTCTTAGAAATGCCTCATAAGCTTAGTTCAACTGTCTTACCCCATCAGAACCCAAAATATAAGCTTGTTTTACTCCAATGTTTGTAAACTAAATAAACATAAACAAGCACTATATTGCGCTAACTATCATTTTGATATCATGGATGGTCAGTCCTTGCATACATAGCTCTGTCTACGAATTTGAGAGTGGTTACATTTCTCCAGCCCCATCCTTCAGCATTTTACCAAAACAGGGGCGGGGATTTGCTTTGTTATTGTTTTGTTATTGTTTAAGTCATATGTTGACCATGACAAAATACTGTCAGTAGGCCTATTACAGTAGCCCTTACCTTGAAAACTACGTCAGCATTTTTTAAACCTTCCGTTTTGGACTCCACGTGTCAATGCGTGGCTCATACATGAATAGTACATCTGTAATCTTCACCTGGTGGAAAAAGCCATGCAATCCTTACATTCAGTGCTTAAAATGTTTTGTTCATGCGAGTTGCACGCTCTTCCCTTTGCCTGTGTCCCTAAGTGACAATGGTGCACACTATCTACATTGTCTAACAGAAATAACCGACTGTTGCCAGAATCAAACCCCTTACCCTCAGGCTTAAAGGGATACTGCGAGATTCTGGCAATTCTGGCAAGATTCTGGTAGTTTTGCGAGCCAATGCTAACTAGCGTAAGCGCATTGACTGGAAGCCTACAGGTACGCTAGCATACGCTACTGTCCCCGCAAACTTCCAGCTTCGTGAAAAGGGAGGGACACAGAAAACCCAGCACACAAACAACATTATTAAAACAAAGGGCACACACCATTGGAGTGGTCCTCTGTAGCTCAATTGGTAGAGCATGGCGCATGTAACGCCAGGGTATTGGGTTCGATCCCTGGGACCACCCATACGTATACATGTATGCACACATGACTGTAAGTCGCTTTGGATAAAAGCGTCTGCTAAATGGCATATTATTATTATTATTATTATTATTATAAAAAGGGATCTAGCTCAATTTGAATTCCATTTTAAAGGTAGACTCAGCTAAATGATGTTGCCACGACCAGTACCGCAGATATTGAGATGAGCGAGATGCATCACTTCGTTCTCACACAGTCACACACAGTATCTGTGCGTGTGCACGGATTCGCTTCACGCCGTTTCTACGTGGTAGCCACGGGACCAAAACAGTGGAGAAGTTGAGCCTTGTGCTTTAACGCTCTTAGATGTTGCGGAAATTGACCCACTACGCTGTTTGCTTTCTGCATCTACATCATATTGCTGAGTCTACCTTTAAAGCAAGGGAGTCATTTAATGAATAACAAACCTAGCTTTTCCCTGGTGGGCATTAGGAACTGGACGGGGAAACTTAAAATAGATAAAACGCATCAAATGCATAAGTCATGTCAAGTTCTATCAGGCATCTTCAGTGAAGCCCTGTAACACAATGGATCCCAATAGAAACATATGTTTGTTGTGGTCACTGGTTTCTCATCTTATGCAGAAGAATCCCGAGCTAAAATAGGAAGACTGTGAATCATTCCTTTTAATTAGCAGTACCCAGAATGCAATCTGTCCCTATTGTTTTGGAACCAGGCGCAGTCAACATCGGACATTTTTCTCAGTGTGTGTGTGTGTGTGTGTGTGTGTGTATGTGCGCTTGTACAGCACTCAGCTGGGATCTCTGGCTTCATTATCTGTGTTCTCAGAGAGAGCTTTTTTGTGTTGTCGGTGTGGGTGTATCCAACTGTGACAAGCTGCTCAGCTCCGCTCGGCAAACACTAAACTTTGGAGTGGAGTCCCTGAGGATCCGGAGCGGAGCCGCACACTGACCTAGTGGGAGGCTGGACGCCAGGGGCTGGGAGCAGATCGCTGATAGGGCTTTACCTCTGACTTAGTTACTGATTTACACACAAACTCCATAGAGGGAGTGGGAGAGGGAGACTAAACAAAACAAAGTAATATAGGACAGTAGTTTATATTGGGGCCATATCTTTTTTTTTGTCAAGCGGAGCATTTTTTTTGTCATGTTTTCTGTACAAGTTATAAGTCTAAGTCTTGCCTTTTGAGTGGAATCTCAGGTATTTGTGAAAAGACAATGTCTATTAGGCATTCATTTATTCTCAGTCTGGGTATGTTGAAGTATTTTGGAGCCCATATGTGAAGCTATCTAACAAAGAGGGTTCCCCTATGTTGGACAAAGGGACGTTGTCACTTCTGATTATGATGGCGGAGGGTGAGAGGGGACCCCCATGGCATGGTACATCCAGCTGTGTCTGAAAGGGATTAGCTCAGCAATATGTACTCGCGCACGCGCACACGCGCACGCACGCACACACACACACACACACACACACACACACACACACACATCAGCAGCTTGCTGGAAGACCGGTCATCTTCAAGGGTCCCAATAGCCCCTCAGTCTGAGTGGAGCATTTTCACGTCACGTGAGACGGACCCAACATCAGAACTTGGGGACATGTTCACGTCACGAGAGACACCACCAGAGTGAATTGGATGTTAACTTGAGAATTCCCATTACCCTACCTCTCACTCCTTCTCCAGCTGGTCTGTCACCTCTGTTGTGACAGGGAGAGTGACAGGGAGAGCAGCTCCCCGTTTTGGCCTGGCAGGCTGGCTCGTTAGTGTGAGATTTATCACTCTAACACCGGGGGTCTGGTGCTGAGGTGGTTAATGTCCTGGAGGGATGACACAGTCTCAGGGGGGACATCGTTAATGCCCAGCCAGCCAGCCTGCCCTGAGTTTGGCCTCACCAGTTTCCTCTGGGTTTATTGTTGTTTCCCAACAGACAATGCAACTGCATAGCTGGAGGGGGAAAACATGAGCCACAATGGCTTGATCTGATCGCCTCAAGTTAGTGGACGAGTAACTTTTTCTGTAAAGAAATGTCTCTGTATTGTGACTAACAGAAACTGTAGGAGTGGAGGGTGGCAGGAAGCCTAGTGTTTAGAGCGTTGGGCCAGTTAAACTAAAGGTCGCTGGTTCAAATCCCCGAGCCGACAAGGTGAAAAATGTGCCCTGAGCAAGGCACTTAACCATAATTTCCTCCAGTGCCACACTACTATGATCGGCCCTGTAAAGCAACATTTCACTGCACCTATCTGATGTATGTGATAATAAAACATATTTTCCCTCTCAAAAGGGTAAACAGTTGGAGTGCTGGAGGTACACTACAGTGTGAACCTTATGACCCTCGACATAGAAGTCAAAATAACTTTCCATCTAGACTTTGGGTATGACGAATTACGTTTTTCCTGTCAGTCTGCCCCAGCAGGTGTTCCATTTACATTCTTCCCCCTCAGAAACTCATACAAACTGAACTGTACCCCATGCACTCCCTGCCCTGCACAGACACATGGAATACATCACATGTGGAGCTGAATCGGTTACATATTAGATTTTTCTACATCCCCTTTCTCCGCCCAACCTCAACCTAGTCTATACTGAGCTGTAGCCAGCACACCGTATACTATCAGTCAACCCTTTATTTTAGACGGATAAATAGTTAGCTATCCATGCATCAATATGTGCACTGGAATATTTTGTTGTTATTCTCTCACCATTGTTTTTAGTCTTCTCTTGCCTTAATGGAGTTCAGGCTTGGAAGGTGAGTGAGTGAGAGTGAGAGTGAGAGAAAGAAGTGTGTGTGTGTCTGAGTGTGCAGTTTGAAGGTGACAGCTTCTCTTGCATGATCATAAGCAACTGTAATGGCCTCCAGATGTGATCATCAGCCCCACTGACTGAGCGTACACGCGCACACACACACATCGTGCCAAATGAAACATACCACGCGGCCACTACTATTTATTATTAAATCTCCCTCTTTTTTTTTACACCAGTCTTCGGCTTTTGTATAGAGCTGAACCCGCTTTAAGGGAGGGAGAGAGTTTTCATGGGAATCTAAAGCTGGATCCAATTATGTTTTTCGAAGGTTGGGGACCATGTTTTTGTTATCGGACCATGGTCGCTTGGTGGTTTCGTCCTAGAGGCCCCCGCGCTGAGCTCCACACACGAATGTTCATGATTTAGTGGCCCACAAACACACATTTCTGCTGACATGAGTTTTGAGAACTTTAAAAGGCACGGACACACCGGTAGCGTTTGCCAGCCAAGAGTACTTAGCACCTCTGAACATAGTGCCAGCCGTAATTTGCAAACTGATTCTACATGTAGAATAGCAAAAAAAGTAAAACGCCGCGCCGAACGAACTGCAGACAAACAGCAGATTATCATTCGGTGCGGTGTGTGTGGTCCCTAAGAGAACAGAGATCTGAGGAAGTTGCCATTTCAATTTTCTGTCTCAATGCTAGTCTCAATGTTAGACTATTGAGGCACGGCCCGGGCCTCCAATCATCAATGATGAAGGGAAAGGAGATGCGGAAATAAAAAGAAAAGGAAGCCATGTTAGACTATTGAGATACGGCCCGGTGCCACCACACCATGCACGACCCCCCCTCGTCTTCCACGGCCCATAACTCTTAGCAGCGGGATGACAACATTCTAGTCAAAAACAGCAGACCTGCCCTGACAACAGTCTTAGTTGCCCTAACCCTTTTCCTAACCTTAACCTCATTTTCCTAACCTGCCACGTTAATTCTCCTAACCTGCTATGAAAAGTAACTTCTGCTAGTCAAAAGCAGCAGACCTGTCCTGAGAACAGTCTTGGTTTCCACTAATGCGACACAGCATAAATCTTAACGTTGGGATGACAACACTCTCCTGGCTTAATGGCGCTGTCGACAAACATTAGCAGCCCACCGCGTCAAACTAGCCACCGAAGCTCTCTCTCTCTTTCAATCCGTCCCTTCCTTTTTGAGCCGCGGCCGGCTCCCCCTCGAGACATCTGCAGAGGAGTTGCTCATAATTATGATGTATTAGACTGTGGCTGGATTCTGGCCCTGGTGTGCTGTAATAGTTTCGCAGATGTGACATGCATTAATAATTGCATGTGGCAGACAGAAATCAATACCATCGCTGGAATCTATATTTGCTTCCCGGGGGGTGGGGGGAATTCACAGTATTTTTCACAGTATTTCTCTTTCACTCTCTTTTCTTGGAGAGAGATGCCTCCCTGCATCACACTGCAACACAACCCTTAACAGCCTTTAACGTGCTTCTCACCTAGCTACAATAGGCCAGTCGGTGTGCAACAGCTCTGCAACCCTTCTCTGAAATATCTCCACACAAGGACATACTGTAATTATGCTACATCGGCATAATTTGCCTGCTGAAGATTCTACAAAGACTTGGCCGTGTTGATGTTTACTAAGATGGTGATATTGCGGTGCATTGGAAGTACAAGTGTTGCTGTTAAGTCACAACGAACCAGAATGACTCAAAGGGGGCAAGAAGTGGTGTGTGTACACTGCAGGGCCAGACTCATATTACAATACAAGAATCAGGCATCTTATTTCCTGCCTGTCCAGTGTTATCCGATCGTGACTCCACTGTGATGTCATTGCTTGACCTTGTGAACAATAGACAGCCCAGAGTGTGAATCCAAACCAAAGGTCACGGATATGATAAGCATAAAACTCAATCGAATCCATAATGTCAGTCAATATCTGCGACTGCCCAATCGTCCCTCTAGGTGTCCTCTAGGAGTTTTGCATTAAGTAACTCTATACCTCTAATCCAATATGATAAAGTTCATAACTACAGTATAGGACAGAGTAGACTGTGTCTGTCTTGGCTAACAGGGACTCACACCTCTGTGGAACCAGGGTTATATTATCCACAGTATGGCATTACTGACATGACAATATGGGTGGGAGGGGGGGGGGATAAAGCCAAGTTTCCTATAAGATAGTTGGCCTCATCCACCCCTCATACAGGTTACTGCCAAAATAAAGGAAACACCAACATAAAGTGTCTTAATGCGGCTCATTTACTCAAGAGTTTCCTTTATTTTGGCAGTTACATGTACATTACAATGGGGCAGAGGGTGAGGAATAGCAGTACTAAACAGCAGACGCATAGCAAGCTCGTTTCCCATCTACCATCTGTAATATTACCAGCCTCCTTTCCCCGCCTGTCTCAAACGTCAACATTACAGGAGGAGAATATCGTTGTCAAATGATGCAGCCTCAGTCGTGTTTCAACAGTTAGAAAAAGGTGGAACTCAGTGTTGATGTAATAAATATATACTGAACAAAAATATAAGCGCAACGTGCAACTATTTCAAAGATTTTACTGAGTTATAGTTCATATGAGGAAACCAGTCAATTGAAATAAATTCATTATGCCCTAATCTATGGATTTCAAAGATTTTACTGAGTTATAGTTCATATGAGGAAACCAGTCAATTGAAATAAATTCATTATGCCCTAATCTATGGATTTAACGACTGGGAATACAGATATGCATCTGTTGGTCACAGATACCTTAAAAATATTGGCCTCAATGGGCCTCGGGATCTCGTTACGGTAGTTCTGTGAATTCAAATTGCTATCGATAAAATGCAATTATGTTTGTTGTCCATAGCTCATGCCTGCCCATACCATAACCCCACCACCACCATGGGGAACTCTGTTCACAACATAGACATCAGAAAACTGCCATACACGTGGTCTGCGTTTGTGAGGCCGGTTGGACGTACTGTCAAATTCTCTAAAACAACGTTGGAGGCGGCTTATGATAGAGAAATCAACATTAAATTATCTGGCAACAGCTCTGGTGGACATTCCTGCAGTCAGCATGCCAATTGTGCATGTGGCATTGTGTTGTGGGACAGAACTGCACATTTTAGAGTGGCCTTTTATTGTCCCCAGCACAAGGTGCACCTGTGTAATAATAATGTTGTTTAATCAGCTTCGTGATATGCCACACCTGTCAGGTGGATGGATTATCTTGGCAAAGGACAAATTCTCCTAACAGGGATGTAAACATTTTTGTGCACAACATTTTAGAGAAATAAGCTTTTTGTGCATATGGAACATTTCTGGGATCTTTTATATCAGCTCATGAAAGATGGGACCAACACTTTACATGTTGTGTTTATATTTTTGTTCAGTGTATATACATATTTACTATACCTGTAGAAAATATACTTAATATACCTTTAAAGTGATGATACAAAGGTTTTGTATAATTTCAGCCAGTAGTTTTGAAATTAGCGCTCACGAGCCAAAACCAGTCCCCGAGAATTGTGCACAACGTCAATCATTTTGCATGATATGTTACGAATTCCAATTCGTACAATACGTTACGAATTTGTACAGTTGAAGTCGGAAGTTTACATACATTTAAGTTGGAGTCATTAAAACTCGTTTTTCAACCACTCCACAAATTTCTTGTTAACATTTACATTTACATTTTAGTCATTTAGCAGACGCTCTTATACAGAGCGACAAAACTATTGTTTTGGCAAGTCGGTTAGGACATCTACTTTGTGCATGACACAAGTAATTTTTCCAACAATTGTTTACAGACAGATTATTTCACTTATAATTCACTGTATCACAATTCCAGTGGGTCAGAAGTTTACATACACTAAGTTGCCTGTGCCTTTAAACAGCTTGGAAAATTCCAGAAAATGATGTCATGGCTTTAGAAGCTTCTGATAGGCTAATTGACATCATTTGAGTCAATTGGAGATGTATCTGTGGATGTATTTAAAGGTCTACCTTCAAACTCAGTGCCCCTTTGCTTGACATCATGGGAAAATCAAAAGAAATCAGCCAAGACCTCAGAAACCAAATTGTAGACCTCCACAAGTCTGGTTCAGCCTTGGGAGCAATTTCCAAATGTCTGAAGGTACCACGTTCATCTGTACAAACAAAAGTATGCAAATATAAACACCATGGGACCACGCAGCCGTCATACTGCTCAGGTAGGAGACGCGTTCTGTCTCCTAGAGATTAACGTACTTTGGTGCCAAAAGTGCAAATCAATCCCAGAACAACAGCAAAGGACCTTGTGAAGATGCTGGTGAAAACAGGTACAAAAGTATCTATATCTACAGTAAAACAAGTCCTATATCGACATACCCTGAATGGCCGCTCAGCAAGGAAGAAGCCACTGCTCCAAAACCGCCATAAAAAGCCAGACTACGGTTTGCAACTGCACTTTGGGACAAAGATCGTACTTTTTTGAGAAATGTCCTCTGGTCTGATTATACAAAAATAGAGCTGTTTGGCCATAATGACCATCGTTATGTTTGGAGGAAAAAGTGGAAGGCTTGCAAGCCGAAGAACACCATCCCAACCGTGAAGCACAGGGGTGGCAGCATCATACTGTGGGGGTGCTTTGCTGCAGGAGGGACTGGTGCACTTCACAAAACAGATGGCATCATGAGGAAGGACAATTATGTGGATATATTGTAGCAACATCTCAAGACATCAGTCGGGAAGTTAAAGCATGGTCGGAAATGCGTCTACATAATGGACAATGACCCCAAGCATACTTCCAAAGTTGTGGCAAAATGGCTTAAGGACAACAAAGTCAAGGTATTGGAGTGGCCATCACACAGCCCTGACCTCAATCCTATATAACATTTGTGGGCAGAACGGAAAAAGCATGTGCGAGCAAGGAGGCCTACAAACCTGACTCAGTTACACCAGCTCTGTCAGGAGGAATGGGCCAAAATTCACCCAACTTATTGTGGGAAGCTTGTTGAAGGCTACCCGAAATGTTTGACCCAAGTTAAACAATTTAAAGGCAATGCTACCAAATACTAATTGAGTGTATGTAAACTTCTGACCCACTGGGAATGTGATGAAAGAAATAAAACCTGAAATAAATCATGCTCTCTACTATAATTCTGACATTTCACATTCTTAAAATAAAGTGTTGATCCTAACTGACCTAAGACAGGGAATTTGTACAAGGATTAAATGTCAGGAATTGTGAAAAACTGAGTTTAAATGTATTTGGCTAAGATGTATGTAAACTTCCGACTTCAACTGTAAGTGCTTAAGATCCCGTTCAATCTCATTTAACAAATATATATTTTTTCGTCCATATTGTATGAAAAAAGGTACCAGTCCCCAGCAAAAAATTTAACAAAACCTATTCCCCACCCTCTCCTTCAAGAAAAGGGCAGCGTCATCTTATCCTCCAGCCCGTATTACAAGTCATTCTATAGCATAAACTCCAAGCGTGTAGCAGTTAATGGAATGAGGTCAGTGTCTAGCCATGTGATTCAGACACATGCACCCCTTTGTTTGATACAAGCAGCATCTGCCTGAGAAGAAAGAGGCATGGTGGAGGAGTTGAGGAGAGCGTGGAGGTTGCGGTTTGACCAAAGCCAAGTCTCGAGCTAGCGCGCGATTATCATCGCGCGGCGCGAGAGTATCAGCGAGGCGCGCGCGAGATATCGTAGCTCGATCGCTAGAGAGTATTCGGTGTCTGCTGTATCCTCTCATTTCGCTCTCTCGCTCACTCTCTCTCTCGCTCTCTCTCTCTCTCTCTCTCTCTCTCTATCCTCTCTCTAGAGACTAGTCGACTTCTCTCTCTCTCTTCTCTCATCTCTCTCTCTCTCTCTCTCTCTCTCTCTCCTCTTCTGTAAACATGCTCTGCTACCTCTAGCTGTGGAGTGAAGCTTCACTCACCAAGCTGAGCCCCAAAGACAGCTGCTCAGGTTCGGAGCTGTGTTGTGTTGTGAATATGCTGCGCACGCAAAGAATGCTGCCTCTGGCTTTTCTTTCTTTATTGAGAACCCCCTCCTTCCTGGAGCTGTCTCTCTATATCGAGACAGTTGCTAATGCCTCGTTGCGTGGGAGGGTGGGGGGGGGGGGGGGGGGGGGGGGGAAGGGGGAGTGGGGGTTAGGAGAGGGGGGAGGGTGGATGTGCATAATTTGGTCATGTTTTGTCTACCCAATAATGTTTTGCCTGGGTGAGTCTGTCTCAGAGAAGCAGTCATACTGCTCTAGCTGCCAATGGATTCGTGAGAATCTGAGTGCCAATGGGTTCACCCATGTCTACAAAGAGCAGCACATTCAGAAGATATATTCCTCAACTTCACTGGCGTTTCTCCCATCAGGTTCAGAATGATGGATGTAGACTGGGAATATTATGCATCTGACCTCGTGGTATTTTTACATTCAGCTCGGTTGACTTAACGCATTTCTAAGGGAAATGGAGATTATTGTATTTCACCATCTCTGATTTCGTTAAAGCGGAAACTCACAGGACAGTATTACATAAAAACTGATGCTGATTTACTGTATATTGGACCTCCTTTTCAACCGTGCTGGTTCCCACACTGTGTGTGTGTTTGTGTGTGACAGACACTCCATGCCGACGCCAGCACGCTGTCCTGGGATAACCTCCCCCCTGCATTCTTATTTCTCTCCCTGTTTGCCACCCAGTTGAGGTGAATCTAATTCTGTGACTCTTCCTTCATATCACCAACTGATATCCACTTAGAGCCAAGCGTAAACGTATTACTCCCCTGACCCCCTCACCCAACTCTGTGACCCGGGCTGGCAATGAGCACAGACTCATTTACCGTTTCCCACCCCTTAATGCAAAGCTTCACCGCCCACATGTTTTTTGTCCTCAGTGTTTATAAATAATTCCAATTCCGTTCAATTTTGGAGGGAATGTGTGTTATTTCTCCTTCATCCGTTTCAAACAAATGTGATGTTATGGGAAAGTGGAAACTTGTGATGACATTTGAGGAATCACAGACAAACCATCCTAGGATCATATAATACCAATTTCCACATTAATTCAAGATCAGGGCTATGTGCACCATTCACATTATTGTTTAAAAGTGTAATCTTGTAAAGTGTAAACCTTATCACTGTCTGTTGTTTCTGTATTCCATGGTTAGTAATACCTCTCTCTCTCTCCCTCCGTCTCCCCTGCAGGACGCACAGAGGGCAGCCCTGTGGATGGACTCAGAGCAGGCCAGATGGAAACAGAAAAGGCCAGCCAGGAGACGGAAGAAAGTCTGATACTAGCACAACTCAACGCCGCCACTCATCCAGACAACTTGATCACCGCCAAGCTCCAAAATGGCACCCAGTCGCCAGAAGGAGCCCATCAGCAGATCAACGGGGACGGAAACTGGAACCTTTACAACAAGGCCGTGGAAGGGGTCATCAACCCAATGAAGAGACACAGGGAGAACAGCAGCAGCCCTGCCGGAGTGCAGGGACTGTTCGACCAAGGCTCTTATAACATGATCAATGGCGGGGATCTGAAGCATGCGCTCAGTGACCAGTCCTTACTGGGCATTCACCAGGCCAAGAAACTCAGAGCGGATTTGGAGATTAACAGAGTGGATGGAGAGGAGATGTGGGACAAAAAGGATGGTGGTGACATCATGGACGATTTCCCTGAGTTGACAAAGCCTGGGGAGTTTGACTGCGATGAGACAAGACTGGATAAGAGAAACTGTAATACTTTCTCAAATGGAGGGGATATTTTCTCACTATCGAGGAACAAGCAAATGGCTAATGGTGCTACAGTGAGCCCCAATTCCATTGAAGGCACACCTGGCGACCTTCTAGAGAAAACTCTGTCTCAGTATTACCCAGAACAAGTGTCCATCGCACCACAGACAGGCGCGCCGGAGTCTCAACCGGAGGTGGGGTTGGTCGACGACATTAGCTCACTCACCAATGAACTCCCTGAACTGCCCGAACAAGCCACGACGCAGTCACCTACCTCTCTTACCTCAGGGTTCCCTCCCATTTCATCCCAGAGGCCTGTCTTGGAGCAACAGCAGCAGACTGGGGTAGCAGCCCGCAAAGGACAAGGCAGCAATGGATATAACAACTCAGCCGCCCCGTATATGGTGAATGGATATTCTAACAGTTACAGAGGAGAGCACCAGCAACAGCAGCTCGCTAACGGCTCCCAACAACATCAGAACAACACAGAGGGCATTTACAGGAAACCTAACCAGGAGTTTAACCATCAGAACTCTTTCCTGCCCCCTCTAGAGCAGAGCACTCCGCTGCAGACAGAGGAGGCCATTGGGTTCAGTCCCGGCCCTTTCCCCAGCCCAGGCATGGGGCAGAATGAGGAGAGGCGCCAGCAGCAACAGTATGGGATGCAGCAGCAGCAACAGCAGACGGGGAACCCCTGTGGAGCTGACTCTACGGGCCCCCAGGGCTCCATGGGCCCAGCTCCCCTGCCCGGTGGCAGCGAGCCTGGACCCCAACGCTCCCATCAAAATGGGATGATGGAAGACACGACGCAGCAGCAGCAGAGAGGAGGAGCAGATCCCGGCTGCCCTAATTCCCAGATGGGCTGGATAGATCTGAACTCCCAGGGCCAGGGCCAGATGCTGGAGCCCGACTCAGCACGGAGGTTCCAGACGGGGGGACAAAGCTTTGACGTAGGACCCACCGGAGGGGCCTACCAGCAACAGCAGCCGCGGCCGGCCCAGTCGCCTCACCAAGTGCCTCCTGCCAAGCACAACACTGCCCCAGAGTGGCAGCAGCAGGCCGACTCTAAAGGCCCTTCTCACATGCACCAACAACAGCAGCCACATACACAACACATGCCCCAGCAGCAGTGTAATCTTCCTCCTCAACAGCAGCAGCAAGGGGAGAATTGTTTTCGAGCCCCCATGCAGCCAGAGCACTTATGCGAAGGCGACCCAGATCTAGAGGAAATACTTTCACCTAGCTTTTTGCAGCCGCCACAACGTCCACAACATCAACAGCAGCAGCGCCCGCTGTCCCATCCATCTCAGTACGACGGACAGCAGTCGGTCAACGCACCCCAGTCGCAGGACCCCAACCAGGGCAAGATGGACGGTCAACAGCTGCTGAACAAACTCAAGCTGGAGGACTACATCAGGCTAGAAAAGGATCTAAAATCCCCTGGTGGAGGCTACAGAGGTCAGGGTGGTCAACCCCAGCCTGGGCACCAGCAGCAGATCCAGTCTATGATGAGAAACAACCCTGGGTTCAATCCTGCAGACCCCTCTCAGCCCAACGATGCACAGCAGTCCCAGCAGGCGTCATGGCGACACAGCAGCAGTAATACCATGGAGATGGAGATGGAGCTGGAGATGAAGCAGCAACAACAACAGCAGCACCAACAACAACAGCAGAGGCAGTACACTCCAAGCCCCGGGCCCAAGCAATACTCCCACCAGCAGCAGCCGCCGCCCCACTTCCGACAACCACACCTCAACCACATGGACTTCCCAGTTACCCAGACCCCCCCACAACCACTACCTCACTTACCACACAGTGCTTTAAACCAGCAGTTGTCTGCACAGCAACAGCAGATGTATCCTAAAATGGAGCAGAATCAGCAGGAGTCTTGCGCCCAGTTCCAGAGGGGGAGGCCTCCACCGCTGGGACACGGGGGCCCCCAGGGGGACTTCCAGAGGCACGCGGCCCTGCGGATGCATCTTCTACAGAGGCAGTCTGAGCGGGGATCTCTGGGTCCCCCTCATCCACAGAGCCCTGTAGACTTCAAGCACGGCCTCCGGCCCATCAAGATGGAGAATGGGCCGCGGTTCGAACACCCTCACCACCCAGGGACTGGACCGCCGCCATTGATGCAGCATCAACAGCAGGGCCGGGAGATGGGTATGGTAATGGGGGGCATCCAGGTCAAGCAGGAGTACAACCCACAGCCCCAGATGTCGTGCGGCGGTGAGCGGAGCCAGAGCAGCTCCCAGCGGAGCATCCTAGCCACCATGGAGCAGACTCTCAGACAGTATCAGCTTTCACCAGTCTTCGACAGGAAGTCCCTCGTCATCAGGTCGCCCAACAAGGTCAAGGTGGAGCAGTCTGGCGCTGTGACGGTGCTCTCGACCCACGCGGACATGGACGGTGGGATGGTTGGGATGGAGGACATGGGGATGGGGCGTCCTGGCTCCAATGCGCTGAAAAGACCCCACCTAGACTTCACCCCCAAGCAGGAACCCCTGCTCCAGAGTTTTATGAATTCCCCCATGAAACTCCTGGATACTCCCATTAAAAACCTATTGGATACTCCTATCAAGACCCAGTATGATATCCCTTCCTGCCACTGCGTGGGTGAGTCACATTTCATGTCTGTCTTTACACACAGATTATTTGTCAGTTGATGTCTAATTTGGGTATGGGGTTTGTCCCTTTCTTTGTTTTGAAACAGAGTCGATCAGTGAGAAGGACGAAGGGCCGTATTACACCCACCTGGGCTCCGCTCCAAATATCAAGGCCATCCGTGACATCATGGAGACAAGGTGGGTTGTTTTATCCCGCTTCATCCCACGTAATACAAAGGAAAAGGTTTTTCTACGCACAGTTACTGAATGTATAACTTTTCAATGTTTCAAACAAACATTTTAACGGTTGCTTTCTCACACGCAAATAAACCATAGGAACAATTACTGAACTTTTCAAGATTTCAAACAAACATTTTAACTCAAGCTTTCTCACGTCACAGCCATTTTGGTCTCACTTTCTGGTCACATGACCTCCATACTTAGAGTGACAGGTTCCTGATTTTACCACTCACCAGAATTAAACATGGTGCCATATAAATAATGGCATATAAATCATGGCATGGATCTTACACATGTAGACATTCCATTAGTATTTAACCTGGGAATACATGCGTCAAGTTTGTATTTGTTCCTTTCATTTGTAATCCTCTGTAGCTCAGTGTGACTGTGGTCCTCTGTAGCTCAGTTGGTAGAGCATGGTGCTTGCAACGCCAGGTATTGGGTTCGATTCCTGGGACCACCTGTACGTAAAATGTATGCACACATGAATGTTTGCTGCTTTGGATAAAAGCGCCTGTTAAATGACATATATCTAATGATGTATATACACTCTGGATTGCTGAGGCTTTGAAGCCATTGTTTGGGCATATTGGCACTCCCCAGAAGTAGCAGTCCTTGTAATGAATGGAATTCTTCAATGTCTCAAGGACAAAATTACATGTATTTTTGTTGTTGTTGTGGGGACCGTAACATTAGTAATCTCAAAAAAAGTATATTTCAAGGGGGAAAAAAATCATATATTTTTTTTTTATTTGTATGTTTAGCTCACATAATATCATTTAAAGGTATGCATTAAGGTGTCTGTAATATAATAAATGTGGCAAAAACGAATGTAGATATTAATGAATGCATTTCTATAGCTTCCAAAATATTTTTTACGACGGTGGGGGAGTGCCAAGATGGAGGCACAGTTGCTTCAACACAGCGCCCCCTGTCGATCATCTAGTGTATATATAGATCATTGCATACATCATATATATTCACATTTACATTTATGTCATTTAGCAGACGCTCTTATCACATTTAATGTGGAGACGTTTCAATCAGAACGCTCTGTAACGTTGTACACTCCTGAACAGAGCCCAGATTTACACCCACACTTAACACACGTTGTTCATAGCCTCATTTTATTGCCATACACTCTTATGTTACTATATCACATGCATCTACTATCATTCTTGCATTTGAAGGTCTGGGCTAACTGGCAGTGCCATCAGGATTGAAAAAGTGGTGTACACAGGCAAGGAGGGGAAGAGTACACAGGGATGCCCCATAGCTAAATGGGTAAGTGTCAATGAAGAATGACAATATCTCCGAAATGTGTTTTTTATTATTGTCACATACAACGGATAGGTGCAGGGAAATGTGTTGTTTTACAGGGTCAGCCATAGTAGTACAGCGCCTCTGGAGCAAATTAGGGTACTAAAATCTAAAGACTATATAAATAGAGGAATTACTCTGAAGTGGGCCTGCTGTAATATGTACCTTCCATACTTTGGTTATCACTGATCAGACAGTATTGGTTTAAGAATAGAGTCGAAGTCATGGGTGGTGGTGGCATTTTATTAAAACGCTTCCTTTCCTTCATTAAGGGCACAGTGACAGATTTTTCACCTTGCGTATTCGAACCAGCAACCTTTCGGTTACTGGTCCAACGATCTAACACCCAGGCTACCTGCCGCCCAGTTGGGATAACCGAAATTAGAATAGAGGATTGGTATATAGAGCAAAATTGACAATTGTGAAAATGTACAATATTGTAATTTTAAGGGAAACGTTACTGTATCCGCTGCGATCTTAGACCAGATCCCTCTGGGAAAAAGGCACTTAATATCAATTAGATTTACCTGGATATACAGTGAAATAAAATACATTAAAACATTGGTGTGTTCCAGGTGATCCGGCGCGGCAGCGTGGACGAGAAACTCCTGGTTCTGGTGCGTGAGCGGGAGCGCCACAAGTGCGAGACGGCGTGCATCGTGGTGATCATCCTGATCTGGGAAGGCATCCCCACCACCATGGCCGACCAGCTCTACATGGAGCTCAGCGACACCCTGACGAGACACGGAGCCCTCACCCAGCGACGATGTGCCATCAACGAGGAGTAAGGGCCTTTCTGTCCTTGCCTCCAAAATCGTAATTTCTAATCATGCCATAAAATGTGTTTAGACAGCTGAACCAAGCGCACACATTTTCTTTGACACCGACAAAAGTGCAATAATCCAAGACATTACTGAGGGGGACTGCAACCACATTGTGCCACTCATTGCTATGTAAATACAATACACTGCAATATAGTACACTCAAAACAGGAAAGATGCCTCAGGGGAATATAAGTAGATAGTTCAAATGTACAACATGTGCAAAATTAAGGTAGGCCTATCTGTGACCAACAGATGCATATCTGTATTCCCAGTGATATGAAATCCATAGTTTAAGGCCTAATTTATTTATTTCAATTTACTGATTACCTTATATGAACTGTAACTCTTAGAAATTGCTGCATGTTGCGTTTATATTTTTGTTCAGTGTACAACAAGTTCAAATTGAATATAATACCTGAAAACAAACTCGAAGGCAGTAGATGGGGGATACATGATAACAACAACTGTTTAACTGACGACCAGGCATGACACACACAAGCTGGGCATTAGGTCAGATGATACACCATAATATCAAAGGCCAGCTTCTCCCGGTCATGGTACCAATGAACAGAACAGCTCATTCACGCACTCCCATCCGTTGTCTCCTGGGGAGCTTTACTTTACAAAACCCTAAACCCTATCTGGGATGAGTTACCTGGTGGTGAATTATTGATAGTTGAAGGCTATTCAACCCAACCCGTGATGAGAGGAAGCGACCATACTTACCATGTCATAGCGATGCTTGCCCAAAGCTGGTCCTTCAGAATCATCCTACAGTCAGTCAGTTAGACATTCTAATGCTTTATCCCTCTGTGTCTAGCCTGGTCTCCGATCTGTTTGTGCTGTCTTGCCAACTCCTATGGTCATTTGTTGGCATGACAATGACCATTTAACAGGAGTTGCCAAGACAGCACAAACATATCTGGGACCAAGCTATTCCATGTCTAACACAGCTAACTAATTGAGTTGTCCAAAGCGCTGTGTACATGGCTACACTGTCAGGTAGAACGGCTTGTTCTCTTCAATGCACACAATGACTGCATTAACTATTCTACTGGCAGCAGCTGCCTCAACCCCGCTCAAACAGGATGTGTAATGTCGGCACTCTACAGGAGCGCATGTGTTATGGTGTAGCGTGCTGTTTCAGCGTGATGTAATGTCATTCACAATGAAACAACTGCCTATAGTGTAATATGAAGGCACACCCTGCTAGCCAAAATCAACGTGTTATTTTCCATTTTCTATGTTATTTACATAGGCATGAGACATAGAACGGACAGGCTTAACTGCAGGTTTCCGATATTCTTTTTCCACTGCTAGGCTGACTCATAAGTAAAAGGTATAGGCGTTGCTTTGTGTGTTCAAAACCACCGTTTCCCACTGGGAAGGGATGCTCAGCTCCTATATAAATCTCAATTACCCATGCTTACGTATTTGCAATTACAATTACATTTGATTGAAGATAGTTGGGAGTATACGTAATAAACCTTTATTGGAATGGTAACCGTACCACCTGGTATTTGGAAATGTATAAATTCACAGCAATGTGTTTGATTAAATATTTATACAAAGGATTTAAACCAAGCCTTTGACAATAAATAGTAGCTGTTGATTTAGGGTTTTGACAAATTTACTTCTAGGAGGGAGCACTTGGTAAATCTAGCATGGAGTTTTATGAATAGCATTCAATGAGTTGTTCCTCTCGTCCTTGTTGTTAAGGAGGACGTGTGCGTGCCAGGGATATAAACGCAACATGCAACAATTTCAAAGATTTTACGGAGTTACAGTTCATAGAAGGAAATCGCTCAATTGAAAAAAATTAATTAGGCCCTAATCTATGGTTTTCACATGACTGGGCAATGGGCGCAACCATGGGTGGGTCTGGGAGGGCATAGGCCCACCCACTGGGGTGTCAGGCCCAGCCAGAGAGAAATAATCCCCCTCCCCCCTCCCCCCTCCCCCCTCAGATGATCCCGCAGGTGAAGAAGCCCGATGTGGAGGTCCTGGGCTGGCGTGGTTACACGTGTTTTGCGGTTGTGAAGCCAGTTGGACGTACTGCCAAATTCTCTAAAACGACGTTGGACGCGGCTTATGGTAGAGAAATGAACATTCAAGAGAAATGAACATTCAATTCTCTGGCAACAACTCGAGTGGACATTCCTGCAGTCAGCATGCCAATTGCACGCTCCCTAAAAACTTCCGAGACATCTGTGGCATTGTGTTGTGTGACAAAACTGCACATTTTAGATTGGCCTTTTATTGTCCCCAGTACAAGGTGCACCTGTGTAATGATCGTGCTGTTTAATCAGCGTCTTGATATGCCACACCTGTCAGGTGGATTAATTATCTTCGCAAAGGAGAAATACTCACTAACAGAGATGTAATAAATAGGAAACAAAATGAGAGAAATAAGCTTTTTTGTTCGTATGGAACATTTCTGGGATCTTTTATTTCAGCTCATGAAACATGGGACCAACACTTTACATGTTGCGTTTATATTTTTGTATAATAGCGTGGCAGGTAGCCTATTGGTTAGAGCATTGGGCCAATAACTGCAAGGTCGCTAGATTTAATCCCCAAGTCCACAAGGAGAAAATCTGTTGATGTGCCCTTGAGCAAGCTAATTGCTCTAAGCTCGTCGTTGATAATAGCAGACCTTGCTCAGTCTCAGGGAGAATTGGGATATGCAAAAAACACATTTCCAATATACACTTATATGTGTGAAATAGGACAAATATAAGCACCCACCAAATATACTGAACAAAAATGTAAACACATCATGTAAAGTGTTGATTTCATGAGCTGAAATAAAAGATCCCAGAAATGTTCCATGCGCACAAAAAGTGTATTTGTTTACATCCCTGTTAGTGAGCATTTCTCCTTTGCGAAGATAATTCAGCCACCTGACAGGTGTGGTATATCAAGACGCTGATTAAACAGCATGATCTTTACACAGGTGCACCTCATGCTGGGGACAATAAAAGGCCACTCTAAAATGTGCAGTTTTGTCACACAACACAATGCCACAGATGTCTCTGAAGTTTTGCGGGAGCGTGCAATTGGCATGCTGACTGCAGGAATGTCCACTAGAGCTGTTGCCAGAGAATTGAATGTTGACTTCTCTACCATAAGCTGCCTCTAACGTCATTTAGAGAATTTGGCAGTACGTCCAACCATGCCAGCCCAGGACCTCCACCTCCGGCTTCTTCACCTGCAGTATCATCTGAGGCCAGCCACCCGAACAGCTGATGAAACTGAGGAGTATTCTGTCTGTAATAAAGCCCTTTTGTAGGGAAAAACCCATTCTGATTGGCTGGGCCTGGCTCCCAAGTGTGTGGGCCTTTGCCCTCCCAGGCCCACCCATGGCTGTGCCCCTGCCCAGTCATGTGAAATCCATAGATTAGGGCCTAATGAATGTATTTAAATTGACTGATATCTTTATATGAACTGTCACTCAGTAAAATCGTTTAAATTGTTGCATGTTGCTTTTATATTTTTGTTCTGTATAATGATTATTATATAATGAAGTTATTCCTCTCATCCTTGCTGTTTAGGAGGACGTGTGCATGCCAGGGGCTGGACCCAGAGGCCTGTGGAGCTTCCTTCTCCTTCGGCTGTTCCTGGAGCATGTACTACAATGGCTGCAAGTTTGCCAGGAGCAAAATCCCACGCAAATTCAGGCTAACTGGGGATGACCCGAAAGAGGTGAAACATACAGTACATACTGTATTCATAAACATATTTATTTAGTGTTACTCTAATTATGCGTTGCCAGCCATAAAAAAATACCTACGCTGAAATAATGTGTTTTGCTTCTCTATCAGGAAGAAAGGCTGGAGCAGAACCTTCAGAATCTGGCAACCCTAATGGCCCCCACATACAAAACCCTGGCACCAGATGCCTATCAAAACCAGGTAAGGATTTCTGGGCATACAGCCTCCATGTACAGCACTGCAAGACATTTGAGATGTATAGCATTAATCAACATTAACAACTGAACACTAGCTTTAAAAAAATCCTAGCCATGATTCATTTAAAGAGCCTATAAATGAAATGATTTATTAGCTTGAACAGTGATAAGATTGATTTAGTGAGACTAATTTTTATGCTCGTAACGTATACCATATGGGCATCCATGTCTTCTCTTTGCACTGAGGGTCGTGTTCAGTGGGGCACACCGTAGTTTTGCAACCGCAGACGAAATTCTGTGTGTTCATTGGACAAGTTCAGGCAGTACCTCCTCCATTTTTCAAAACATTTCCTACTGAACACAACCCTGGTATTTGTGTGACATACTGGTACTTAACCCAGTAACCCAGATTCTCTTCACGCCAGATAGAACAACTCTTATCTACACTAGTGCTGTGACTCGGCTAGGGAATGACGCCACCTGTCTGCAGACAGTGACTAACGCCCATATTGTTCGTCCACAGGTGGAACATGAGCAAAGGGCGCCGGACTGCCGTCTGGGAAAGAAGGAGGGGCGACCTTTCTCCGGGGTCACCGCCTGTATGGACTTCTGCGCCCACGCTCACAGAGACCTCCACAACATGCAGGGGGGCAGCACTGTGGTAAGCCAATACCTAATCATGGCATAGAGTAAAATGCCAATACATTATTGTATCAAATGATTGAATCTGCTGGGAGAAAAAAGTTAAGAAATAAATACTGCAATAAACAGAAGATGCCTCTCTTCCCAGTGGACATTCAAATATTGAAAAAATTAACACTAGTCAAAATAATTGTCGAAAGCAAACAGAGCACTCAAGCTTGTCCCCCCCCCCAGGTGTGCACGCTAACCAGGGAGGACAACCGCCAGATCGGGAAGATTCCGGAGGAAGAGCAGCTCCACGTGCTGCCCCTCTACAAGGCCTCGTCAACAGACGAATTTGGCAGCGAAGAGGGGCAGCAGGAGAAGGTCAAGACGGGCGCCATCCAGGTGCTCAACGCCTTCCGCCGCCAGATCCGCATGCTCTCCGAGCCAGCCAAGTCCTGTCGGCAGAAGAAGCTGGACGCCAAGCGGGCTGCCGCAAACAAGAACGCCGGGGGACCGGACACGCCGTTGAAGGCGGAGAAAGCCCTACAGGCCAAGCTGAAATCTAGTAGCACTTATGAGAGCATAGCTCAGAGCACTCCTGGGACAGGTGGGTGGAGATTTACACAGTGTAGTAGGGTCCAGACACAAGACGCTGATGTAGGAGGACTGGTGATATTTTAGAATAGAGGACACAGACGATACTGTTGTTCTCCTCCGGCACTTTCTAGCGTTCCATCAGCCTCTAATAGATGGGATCTTTATAGATCGATCAACATGCATCCTTGGCATCATCTTGTGTAATGACTGGTGATATCGTACACAGTCAGTCTACAGTATTTGTTTGCATTTTATATGTTATGCTTCAGGCCCTGTGTTTTGGACAATAATGTCACATGACCTGGATATTAACCTTTTATTTAAAGCTTTTTCATCAAACTGTCCCTTTTTCTTTTTATGTCAGATAGTCCAGCACCCTCCTCAGACAATTGCTTGCATTTTTCAGTATAATTCTAATTTCTGGAAAATACTTAAAATAAATAAAGGTACAAATTTAGGTCATGTGACATGATCTCCCAAAACAGTGGCCCCTAGTTATACTGCCTGTTTCTAAGACGTGTTTCCATCGCTCTCTTCTCCCAGGTCCAAATCCAGGCGCCATGGGAACGACCCCCCAGCCACCAGGTCAGCCGCCAGGTCACCCTCTTGGGGCCCACCTCCAGCAACAGAACACCCTTCACGCCTTCACTGGCTCCTCCCATCCAGCCAGCCCCTACCCCCGCTTCCCCAACCATCCCGGCCCCTTTCCAAGCACTTCCAAGCCAGGTAGCATGTACACCCAGCCACCAGCCTCAGCAAGCCCTTACCCCTCCCCTTTGCACGTACCCACCTCTTACATGAATGGGTCGAATCCAGCGAGCCCTTACCCCAGTCCCATGACGCCGGGTAGCCCCTATCTGGGTTACCAGTGTAACGGAGGTACGCCCTTGGACAACTACCACCCTTACTACACCTCGAACCCAAAGCACCTGGACATGTACCGGCAACAGAGGCCAGGAGCGCTTTACCCCGACATGCAGCAGCAGTATGACGCGCACCAACGCTATGGGGTCAGCTACCCTCCGCGGTATGGCGAGCCCGGTTTACAGATCAATGGTTACAGCAACTGTAGCAGCATGAGGCCCGGCATACACCCCATGAGCCCCTACGGTCCCCCCTCGTATGGTCCCAGCGGTTCCCCCGACGCCCAATACCTGGATGCCCTCTCCAGGCCGCCCTCAGCCCACCACCCGGGGCTGGACTATGCAGCAGCAGTGAGCAAAGGCAATCAGTTTGGTGGGTACCCCAACCCCTACCTCTCCCAGAGCGCCCAAATGTTCCCCCCGGGCGGCCCCCAGGACCCCTTCCGTATGCAAGTCAAGACCGAGATGGGTCTCCAAAGCACGTGCATGACACCCACGCAACAAGGGTTTCCAGGGCTCCCCAATGAGAACCACCACGGGGGTTCCCCCATGATCAAGCAGGAGCCCGGGTTGGGTTCGCCAACGCCCACCGCACCCAAGGAGAAGCCGGCCATGTGGTCTGACAACGAGCACAACTTCCTGGATCCAGAGATCGGCGGGGTGGCTGTGGCGCCCAGCCACGGCTCCATCCTCATTGAGTGTGCCAAGCGGGAGATGCACGCCACCACGCCGCTAAAGAACCCCAAACGCAACCACCCTGCTCGCATCTCCCTGGTGTTTTACCAGCACAAGAACATGAACGAGGCGAAGCACGGCCTGGCGCTGTGGGAGGCCAAGATGGCCGAGAAGCAACGGGAGAAGGAGGAGGACGCCGAGAGGAACGGGGCCGAGGGCGGCACGGTGACGCCCAGCAAGAGCACTAAGAAGGGGGCGAAGAGGGAGCACCCGGAGCTGTCGGAGCAGCAAGGGGAGCCTCCGTACAAGCGCTTCATCCAGACCCTCATGGAGAGGTCCATGTCGCGCACCACCAACACCTACGTCAACACGTCGCCCTACGCTTTTACCAAGGTCACAGGGCCGTACAGCCACTTCATCTAGACAAGAGACATTCATACTATACTGTAGGGTTCACCCATGAGGAATAACACTGAGAATGAAAACGCACGGTGCTATACTGATGGTGCTATACGAAGAACCTCAAGCACCACTAGCCTCACAACACAGCGCATCCTCTCTCTCCCGAATGGCAAGCGACAGTGTCAGAAGAAACGCACAGCGTTGGTGGGCGCATCCTCTCTCTCCCGAATGGCAAGCGACAGTGTCAGAAGAAACGCACAGCGTTGGTGGAGAAGGAACTCGATCAATTGGAAGTCGTACCACGTTATACAGTACATCAGGTCTGTCACCTCTTGAAAGATCAGACTTTACTGATTGGTTGGTTGACCCCCCTCTACTAAGGAAGTATTTATTATTTGGTTTCTTTTACTAGATACACACTTAACATTTCTGGGTGCTTTGCAGGTCCAATCCATCAGGACTTCTATATTTACTGGAAACAAAGTTTCATTTAGGTGGCTTTCTTTTTCTAATTAAGCTTCTTTTTATTGAGATATAATCTTGACATACTGTAAAAAAAACACTGAACTTTGTGGATACACCACAATAACGGTGCTAAAAGTGGAGCTTGTCTTTATTATACAGTGTTGTTCAAATGCCTTCATGTTTGAACCAAATCAGTTTGTATAGATAAACGCGTTTTTCCAGATGTGTGAAAAAGGATGAAACTGAAAATACTGTACAGACAAAATATCATCAGCAAAATGGTTCCTAAGAAAATCAGTGTTTCTAAAGTACTTTTGATATTGAAGGTGAAATATTGATAAGATCTTCAGATCAGATGATTGGTGCAAAAACGTCTACAGTTACAACAAACTAATTATTTTCTAGACATGAAATTGATAATAGACAGACAAAACTTGATCTGAATTACTGTAGCCTATCTGTAAAACAGAATATCATGCAAATTGAATTTTTACACTTTTTACTTTCTGGTGCTTCTCTCAGTTTCACAATTGTTATGTCCTTCATATTGTAAATCGAGCCATTCTAAAAAAGGTGCATTTTTAGACTAATATTTCAAAGATATTTTTTTTAAATGTGATTCTCACATTCTCTCAAGGGTTATTTACTTTGTTGTCAGCAACTGTTTCAGAGTTCTTGACCACAGGTTCACAGAACAAACCTGAATTGTGGATATATTACGTGTTGTCATGCGACTGTTGTGTTTTGTTAACATGCTCCTTACCTTCCTTTGGTGTAGGACACGAAACAGGGTTAGCTCAATGTCAGTATCATGGTTTCAAAGGCAGCTGGCTTGCTGTGGGGGTCCTTAAATACTTGTAATGTAGTTGTATGATAAAAGAAAAAAGATGAGATTTGTACAGTAAATTAATTATTCTCTTTTTTTGTAATTTTACGCTTTACGATTTTAGTGTTGTAAAGAAAAGTTATATTTCTTTGGGTTTGAACTGATTTTTATTACATATGGTGCTACTCAACCTGCTATGCGAACATATAATGTAAGACCCTAGGGGCGTTGAGAAGGCCAATGAATGACCTACAGTTAAAGTACCTACTTGCCATATACCTCAGAACTAGTTTGGCAATACTATAAGGAGCATGATGCAAGGCATTTTTCTCCTTCCTTTGTTGTCACTTTCAAAAAAAGTTAACTACAATAACAGACTTCAGGCCACCACCAAGGCTGAGTTCATTGCTTACTGCTTTTTTCATGCTCGATCTACTAGGAATAATTACTTGAACTTTAAGCTTTGATATAATAGCAAAATCAGGGATATTTCAACTAATTTCTGTGCGTGCATACATTGCTTGTGTTCATCTAGTTTTCCTCTCATTCACGGATTTGAATCCCAATGAATTATTTGTATGTATGTATATATATACAGTGCCCTCCACAATTATTGGCACCCCTGTTTAAGATGTGGTCGAGGACTTCCAAAAATTCTCATTTTTTTTTTAAACAACATAGAACCCAAATGCAAAAAAAGAGAAAAATCCAACCTTTTATTTAAGTACATTACTTTGGTGTAAAAAAAAAAATCACACATTTAGAAAAAATAAAACTTTAAATCATGTGTCCCACAATTATTGGCACCCCTGATGTTAATACTTTGTACAACCCCCTTTTGCCAACAAGACAGCACTTAATCTCCTCCTATAACATTTCACAAGATTGGAGAACACAGAGAGAGGGATCTTTGACCATTCTTCTTTGCACAATCTTTCTAGATCATCCAGTGTCCTGGGTCCTCTCTTATGCACTCTCCTCTTTAGCTCGCCCCACAGGTTTTCGATTGGGTTGAGGTCTGGGGACTGAGATGGCCATGGGAGGACCTTGAGTTTGTGACTGCTGAACCATTTTTGTGTAGATTTTGCCACATGTTTTGGATCATTATCCTGCTGAAAGACCCAATGACGACCCATCTTTAGCTTTCTGGCAGAGGCCATCAGGTTTTTATTTAAAATGTCCTGGTAGTTCAAAGCATTCATAATGCCATGCACCCTGACAAGGTTCCCAGGGCCTTTGGAAGAGAAACAGGCCCACAGCATCACAGATCCTCCACCATACTTCACGGTGGGCATGAGGTGCTTTTCGGCATACTCATCTTTTGTTTTACGCCAGACCCACTTAGAGTGTTTGTTGCCAAAAAGCTCAATCTTAGTCTCATCTGACCAAAGCACACGATCCCAGTTGAAGTCCCAGTGCCGCTTAGCAAACTCCAGACGTTTACGTTTGTGAGTGTTAGTGAGAAAAGGCTTTTTCCTTGCATGCCTCCCAAACAGCTTGTTGGCATGTAGAGAGCGTCTGATGGTTGTTTTGGAGACTTTGTGACCCCAAGATGCCACTCTTTGATGCAATTCTGTGACAGTGAGCTTAGGACTTTTTTTTACTTCTCTTACCATCCTCCTCACTGTGCGTTGTGGCAAGATAAACTTGGGACCTCTTCCAGCCTTGTTTGTCACTGTTCCAGTTGTTTTAAACTTCTTAATGATTCCTCTGACTGTAGATACGGGCAAGTTATGGCGAGTGGCTATTTTCTTGTAGCCATTGCCTGACTTATGAAGGTCGACACAAATCTGCCTTACTTGAATGGTGTGTTCTCTTGTCTTTGCCATGTTGACAAATGGGTAAGAGAATTAGGCCTCTGTGTCACGTCATATTTATACCCCAGGGAAACAGGAAGTCATGAATTACTAATTAAAAGTTCCTAGATACCCTGACCAACTTTAGCAACTACAGAAAAATATATTTAAAAAAAAATCAATTAAAATGTTCCGCGGAATTGTTAGGGGTGCCAATAATTGTGGGACACATGATTTAAAGTTTTTTTTTTTCTAAATGTGTGATTTTTTTTTTTACCACCAAAGTAATGTACTTAAATAAAAGGTTGGATGTTTCTCTTTTTTTGTATTTGGGTTCTATGTTGTTTAAAAAAAAAAGGAGAATTTTTGGAAGTCCTCGACCACATCTTAAACAGGGGTGCCAATAATAGTGGAGGGCACTGTATATATATATATATATACATACACACATATACATACATACATACATACATACACACACACACACACACACACACACAACTAAAACTAAACTTTATCAGCAAAAAGATGGAAATGACGATCTGCATTTTTTTTGTACTTATGCTTTAGCTAGTAGATTGGTGGTATACTTTTGAAGTAAATTTGAACATATAATATGCACTGAGTTGACTAAAGGGAAAGTATGGCATTGACAAGGGAAAGAGCGACGCGTTCGCTTTTACTGAGAGGTAAGACCAGGGCAGTTATGATGCTAGATGATGAGGATGATGCACATGTGTGTGCCTGTGTATAGTTTAAAAGTGAAATGTATTTATAACCACTAAACAATTATATTACGATTATCTCTCTCCCTTCTCGCCATTAGATTTTAATGTGATATACGAGTCAACGGTTATTTCTGAGTGACACCCCCCCCCCCCACTAACATTAATACTATCGTTTTTCAAAAGCACTTCCTTTCTTTCTTCTGAAAAAAAAATGTAATAAAATATTACAAAACGTTTTATTTAAGATAAGAAATCAGTAGATTATTGTAAATGTGTTTAAAATAAATTATGCCACATTGTACATACCATGCGTTTGTATTACGGAAATACAATTGTTGATTTTTAATAACAACCTACTATTGTAATATGTTAAAAGGTGTAGGTTTCTTGTAATTTTGTCAAATGTACCCACGGCCCATGTTTCTATCAGCAATCTTCTAGTCTTTTCCAGGTTCACAGGATGCCACACTCACTGTCAACAAAACAGCAATGTTTACAGCTATAAGGTTCCTGTTCGCTAAAGTCACTTAGAAAGTATTCGTTTTTGTAAAGGATTGCAGTTTTTGTAAAAAAATAAATAATATTAAATTAAAATGTTGAATTTCAGTGTCCAGGACCCAGCGACAGTAGCAGGTTGTGAAAAGGAGTGTCTGAGACATAGCGGGTGACGAGCATAGCCATACTTGAAAAGCTTCAGAGTGTTGGAGTGTGATTCAACATTACTTGAACGACTTTGAGCTTGACTAACGCACCAGAGTGCACAGCTCTTATGTTAAGCTAGCAGTTTAATGTACACGTTGGTATTTTGCAGTTAGACACTAAAGGTTTAAAAACGTTTTGTTATTTTCTGCCTGTCTTTATTTTTTTTTACTGCTTCCCTTGTTCCCCTTTAAGTTTGGTATGCTAAAAAATGGAATTAAGAATGTTATAATGCTGTAAGTATTGTAATGTACTGAATGCAGTTTATTTGAAAGCTGTTTATGATATCATTCCTGATATTGCTGAGATGTGGGTGTTTTTAATAAAATTTATATTTATTTAAAGCACATTTTAAGTTTCACATCTAGTTATTTGAATTTGAGTGGTTAAAACATTTATTTTGTCTGCATGTTTGTGTGTGGAAACGTTGATGTCAATCGAAGGCACACCATGCATCTTACACCTGGATGCTTTTATTTATCAAAAGAAGGTGGATCCAACCATTAAGAAAACTTTATTTTTTGTGCAAATTTAGTTTTCGAATTGAGAAATGATGAATATCAAAGAATGCGTTCTTATTTCAATAGCATACAACCCATTACTGAAATGCATTTTGGCACTTTTAAATAAAATACAACAGGGCTGTCTGTACAAGAACGTCAGTCTCAAACATAATGCAATAAAAAACATTTACAAATTTAGATGGGAATAACCAAATTATTTGTTGTATCAGTAATTTCAAACAGTAACTGTATGTAGCTTGTAACATTTTACATTACATTTTAGTCATTTAGCAGACGCTCTTATCCAGAGCGACTTACAGTTAGTGAGTGCATACATTATTTTCGAACCCACAACCCTGGCGTTGCAAACGTCATGCTCTACCAACTGAGCTACATCCCTGCCGGCCATTCCCTCCCCTACCCTGGACGACGCTGGGCCAATTGTGCGCCGCCCCATGGGTCTCCCGGTCGCGACCGGCTACGACAGAGCCTGGATACGAACCAGGATCTCTAGTGGCACAGCTAGCACTGCGATGCAGTGCCTTAGACCACTGCGCCACTCGGGAGACATAACCAAAACAACTATTCATACAGAATTGACACTTAAATCCCCCATTTGAAATAAAATCAGCTGAATACAAAAATATTTGCAGTAACTAAACAATAGAAAAAATACAGTACTTGAAGTGCTTCATTTGAATATTGGACAAAAGTATCTTTAGCTTTTCACATCGCAGGACTTCAGTCCAGAATCACTTGGAAAGGAAATGCCACTTGTCCACTGTAACAGATGATCATGGATATCAATATGTGACATTAAAAAAGGGAATTTGTAATATTTACACACATATAATATGAATATGTATTTCTTATCAATTCAATGGCTAAAATGGGTCTCATTGTCAAGCAAGTCAGTCACTTGATACATACCTTCTGGAGATACAGGAAGTGCCTCACCACCAGCAGGAGCCTAAGCAGGAAGCACAGGATATGATGTCACAAGACTATCAGATCCAACCACGATACTGAGAATGTTCCTTACAACATAACTTAAACACACAAAGCTTAGTTATAGTTACAACGCACACAGAGCTGAATTGATGTTCTCACCGATCTGACCACATTGCAGGCGTCCTCGCCACTGCATTTGAAAGGGCTCTCGGAGACAGAGACGTTTTTACTGTTGTCAGAGAAGAAACTTAGGTCATTATCTATCAATGCAGAAAAACCAACAACATTATAACGCAGGCTTATTGCAATTTCATATGGGCTGCTGGAGGGCTATTAGCTGACCGACCACATGAGCAGGGATTATGTGTAACGTAGGATGAAACAAACACACACACACCCTGGAGGGCTAACACACACACACCCTGGAGGGCTAACACACACACACCCTGGAGGGCTAACACACACACACACACCCTGGAGGGCTAACACACACCCTGGAAGGCTAACACACACCCTGGAGGGCTAACACACACACACACACACACACACACACACACACACACACACCCTGGAGGTCTAACACACTCCCTGGAGGTCTAACACACACCCTGGAGGCCATAACACACACCCTGGAGGGCATAACACACACCCTGGAGGGCTAACACACACACACACACCCTGGAGGGCTAACACACACACACCCTGGAGGGCTAACACACACACACCCTGGAGGGCTAACACACACACACCCTGGAGGGCTAACACACACACACCCTGGAGGGCTAACACACACACACACCCTGAAGGTCTAACACACACACACACACACCCTGGAGGGCTAACACACACACACACACACCCTGGAGGGCTAACACACACCCTGGAAGGCTAACACACACCCTGGAGGGCTAACACACACACACACACCCTGGAGGTCTAACACACACACACACACACACCCTGGATGGCTAACACACACACACCCTGGAGGGCTAACACACACACACACCCTGAAGGTCTAACACACACACACACCCTGGAGGGCTAACACACACCCTGGAAGGCTAACACACACCCTGGAGGGCTAACACACACACACACACCCTGGAGGTCTAACACACACACACACACCCTGGAGGTCTAACACACACACACACACCCTGGAGGCCATAACACACACCCTGGAGGCCATAACACACACCCTGGAGGGCATAACACACACCCTGGAGGGCATAACACACACCCTGGAGGGCATAACACACACCCTGGAGGGCATAACACACACCCTGGAGGGCATAACACACACCCTGGAGGGCATAACACACACCCTGGAGGGCATAACACACACCCTGGAGGGCATAACACACACCCTGGAGGGCATAACACACACCCTGGAGGGCATAACACACACCCTGGAGGGCATAACACACACCCTGGAGGGCTAACACACACGCGCTCCTCACCAATCTATCTGGCCACCATTAGTCTGCTTCTGCACCAGTGCCCTCCAGTGCTCGTGAGTGGACTTAACGACCTCCACAGCAAAGTCCTAAAGAGGAGGAGGAATGGAGGCAGACAAAGGACAATAGAAAGAAGTGAACCCTTTGCGATCCCTGGGGAAGGGAACACACCATCAGAGTCCCTCCTATTAAAGTAACTACCATGGCACTGGACTGGAACACATTCAGGAAAACAGTACGATATATACCAGCTATTATGCTTTAATATACCAATAGTATGTGGCCCTAATGGAGAAACTCTATGTACCTTGTCTTTGAACTGTCCATTGAACGCAAACTGGTTTTCGGGCTTGCCGTCTGGAACCTTGTATTTTCTAAACCAGTCGACCGTGGCCTCCAAATGACCGGGTCTGCTCTTGCGGACATCTTCGATACCTGAGGAGAAAACAAGAGAGCACATTGTGATTTTGAAACATATACTGGGCTTGTGTGGCTCAGTTGGTAGAGCATGGTGCTTGCAACATCAGGGTTGTGGGTTCGATTCCCACGGGGGACCAGTATAGAAAACATTTATGAAAAATGTATGCACTCACTACCGTAAGTCACTCTAGATAAGAGCATCTGCTAAATTACTAAAATGTAAATGTAAAATATTGAGATCAAACACACTATGTTAATGGTTACTGTGCTACGGATATTGTGTCCAAGGCTGCGTTTACACAAGCAGCCCAATTCTGATAATAATTCTTTTAAATAATTCTTATTTTCACTAATTGGTCTTTTGGCCAATCACATCCAATCTTTTCACATCAGATCATTTTCAAATCTGATTAGTCAAAAGACCAATTAGTGATAAAAAAGATCAGAATTTGGGTGCCTGTGTAAACGCAGCCTAATATGTGTATGACGTGTTGAAAATGTCTACTACTACAGTGACATTTTGAAATACTGTAAGTTTCTAAGACTGACTGTTGAGGCTGGGGGCCTCTGGGTCATCAGCGTTGATGGCTATCAGCTTCCAGTCCGTCTCTCCCTCGTCGATCATGGCCAGGACCCCTAGCACTTTCACCTGGATCACCTGACCTGGGGAACACACCTGCAGGACACAGGTAAGCAGACAGACAACTCCTCAGGTAAAAGTACATTATACATGACATGTTATACAGATAAGTTATATGATATATTATCACGTTCTGTGAGTTACTTTATATACATATTATAATATGTCTAGACATATTGTTTGTAAATTAACCTTCATACATATTATACATACAAGTAATATTATTCTTGGATATGATTTAGCCAAAGTCTAGACAGTCTCACCATCGTGCCGATTTCGCAGACGTCTATGGGGTCGTTGTCTCCGCAGCACTTGGAGTCCTTGTCCATATGGTTCGGGTCTTCCCATGTCTGTTTCAACAATAGAAGAGACAGCAGTAACAACATTATCCCTGTCAACACTTTGTTTGTATACCGTCATTTCAAACATTGTGAGATGAACTGTCAAATTTGTCGAGCCGACCACAGTGCATTTTTTTCAGCCAGTGGGGAGGGCAGCAGACAATAATAAGTTATGGGCAAATCAATGATGTCTGCGTGGCAGTCTGCTTAATGCGCTTGTATATGAAACACTCAGGGCCACACGCTGTGGATTTCACCAACAAGACCCATTTTAATGAATCGTGAAGTGTTTTCCATGTATCCGCCTGTATTAGTCATTCACTTTGGCCAAATCAATACTGCCGGAGGATGAAAGAAGAAATGCATTACTGGCAGCTGAGTTTCGACCGAGATTATGTTCTAGTGTTTTCCGCTGAAAGACTAGCGAATAGGGTTAATAATGGGATAGAGGTCCATTTAGAATCTCTCCAGTTGTTGATGTTGTTCAACTCTGTAAGAAAACAGAGGGATGGTGAAATCCATAACGAAACAGAAAGATGATCAACTCCGTAACAATATAACTCCATAACGAAACAGAAAGATGATCAACTCCGTAACAATATAACTCCGTAACGCAACAGAAAGATGATCAACTCCGTAACAATATAATCCCGTAACGCTACAGAAAGATGATCAACTCCGTAACAACATAACTCCGTAATTCAACAGAAGGATGATCAACTCCGTAACAATATAATGCAACAGCAGGATGATCAACTCCGTAACATAACAGAGGTGACAGAGGTCTCACCTGTGGGAGCGCCCCGTAGTTCCAGATGTAACCTTTATAAGGAAACACGTTGGCCACATATCGGAGTTTGCCCTTCTTCACATCCTGCTTGATCGGGTTCAGTGGTTCCTTGGTTGCAATCTAAAAGAAAGATGCATAATTAACACAGATGACAGTCTAAACTTGGGTCAGCAGTTTACTATCTTAAGAGAGACAGTGACATTAGAAGGGCATCCATTTTCAAATCCTCATCAAATAAATAGTATCCATAAACCCAGTTTGCACTCTCAATCACCTCTATTATTCCTTCAACTGCTGGAGACTGAGATGACCTTTAAAATCAACTTTCAGAGCTCTCTCTCTCTCTCCCTTCCCTCTCTCTCCCTCTCTCTCTCTCTCTCTCTCTCTCTCTGCCTGAAGTGCTTAAATATCATTAACAAGTTGCCTGGTGCAAGGACATCATTATATATTAAGGGAAGAAGAGGATATTTATAGGACCTTTCCACTTTGACAGATTCATTATTAATCTATTGTCTGGCTGTTTCTAGTCAAACACCAGCGTGCTAACACGTCAAAAAGCTCTCAACGATGTTTGGATCAGTCAAAATAGAGCTCGGCCAATGAGGGATTACAAACCACTTAGGACAAAAGTCGACCGCCTTTCTTTATGTCGGTGGTTGTCTCAAACGCTCTTGTATATGGACACACCATAGTGTTAGATTAATACTTAACTGACAGGTTCCCAAAACAATACTTGCCTCCATTTTGGCATTGGACCATCGAGGTACCTCCACAACCATGTTATACAGAACCTGTAAAATAAAATATGAACTATATCAAAGATAATATAATCAAGGTGCTCAGCATTAATTAAAAAGAGATTCAATTGTTTTCTCTGTAGTAGAAATGTCAGCATGGGAAAATACCTCATTCTCATTCTTCTTCAGTTTTTTAGATGGCACATCATTTTCCTTCGGTAAGACACATATTGCATTAATAATAAAATACATATTTGGTAGACCTACACAATATCTGACATCATCACGTAAGAGGTTTCAGACACTAATAGTAGACTGTCAGAAAAATACCCAGCAAGTGAAGCTCTACAAAATCCCTAGACATTTGCATGTCACCTGACTATTGACGAACCCGCTGAGAAGTATGCATAACCTTTACATGTTCAATAAACATATTTCCTTGTCAGATAAAATCATGCTTTTTCAAAGATTTTCCATCTAAGCCAGGGGTGTCAAACTCATTCCCTGGAGGGCCGAGTGTCTGCGGGTTTTAGTTTTTTCCTTTCAGTTAAGACCTAGACAACCAGGTGAGGGGAGTTCCTTACTAATCAGTGACCTTAATTCATCAATCAATGACAAGGGAGGAGCGAAAACCCGCAGACACTCGGCCCTCCGTGGAATGAGTTTGACACATGGTCTTAGCACTTCAATGACAATGTATGTGGCTTCTGTTCCAAAATGCCTGCCTAAAAGGTTCCATACTCACACCCATTATCATTTCCACATGCAAAAAGGAAATATGGAAACATTGACTCGTTCCTTGCGTCACATAGACCGGTTTCATAAAAGCTACAACAACCAAGTAAGAATAGATCCAGATTGAACAAAATGTTTACCTGATCTCCATCGGCGAGAAGTGGAATATCATGAAAGGGAGAGATGTATTTCCCGTCAGAGGTTTCTAGAACAAAACAGAAACACATGCAAAGTAAATTGACTGATGTACTGTATTAGTAATGTATACATTCTCAAAATGTTCTGTAACTGTTGGTATACCGCAAGTGCTCGATGCAACATTTATATTGTTACTAGGTGCCAGTGGCGGTCGGTGCCGTTTAAGATGATTTTTTTTTTTTTTATGGGCCTTATTTCTATTACAGCATATTGGATGACTGTCATTCATATTTCATTCACCCAGCTCAATGTAACATCAATAGGTTTAGGCTATACATGATTCTCGATTTTTCCCTGTACCCATCATGAGGTTGCTACATCCGAGATAATTTTGAGTAATCAAGATGACAGACAGTGACACATTCAATACCGCCTTGAACACTCTTGCCTGCATCTAGCTGATCTAGGGAGAAATCATTAGTTCAACAGATTGTAAACGAGAGTTTCTATTGGACAATTTCAGGTGTTTATCCCAATTTCATTTGTTTACGTTTAAGAAACGTTTTTCAACAAAATTGGCGTAATGAATACACCCCTGATCAGTTCACTTTCATAGCACCCACATAAAAACAGCATGATCACTTTGCTGTTTTATATATAATTCCTTCTCGCAACTATCTATGCACTCTCCTCCTCTCACCTTTTCCCTTCGCTTGTGGACTTCATTCAGTGCACAACACATCAGTGGTCTGTGACCAGGCAAATTAAATCTTTCCAAGCCAAACCTTCATATCATGACCGCTACACACAGCCTACATCCTTGTCATAGTCAACATCGCTACTAGAACTAATGTGTTAGTAAACCTGCTAGCTACAATCATACAGCACAGTGTACAGTCAGAAAGCAGTTACACCGGTGGGCCCCGGTGGCAATAAATTAATCAAACCAAAAGCCTACCTTGACTTGGAAGACTTCTTGTGTTGGCTAGCCATAGCCAGCTAGCTAACATAGCATCCCTCTCTGTTTGAGCTGGGTGTTTGAGTAGGCTAAACTAGCTAGCTGCATTCTCTAGGTAAGTTAACGTTTCTTTTTTTTTAAATACAACCAAATATAGCTAGCTCGCTCCCTCTCCTCTCTGTTCAAAACTGTTCTACTATTGTCTTTCTTGCTGAGTCAACTACTCACCACGTGTTATGCACTGCAGTGCTAGCTAGCTGTAGCTTACGCTTTCAGTACTAGATTCATTCTCTGATATTTTGATTGGGTGGACAACATGTCAGTTCATGCTGCAACAGCTCTGATAGGTTGGAAGACGTCCTCTGGAAGTTGTCATAATTACTGTGTAAGTCTATGGAAGGGGGTGAGAACCATGAGCCTCCTAGGTTTTGTATTGAAGTCAATGTACCAAGAGGACGGAAGCTAGCTGTCCTCCGGTTACACCATGGTGCTAACCTACAGAGTGCTGCAGAGGCTACTGTAGACCTCCATTGCAAAACTGTGTTTTAATCTATTATTTGGTGACATCTGAATATATTTAGTATAGTTTAATCTAAAAAGGATAACTTTTTTAATGTTTCACTGTTTTTTTGGTCCTCCCCTTCCTCCTCTGAGGAGCCTCCACTGGTAGGTACAGAAAATGGAAGGCCCCTAACATAGAAAAATTGAGCATTTGAGTCACAAGCAATAGTGTTCCACTTTAGCGCTTAAAAAAGGGCAACTCCACCCCTTTTCAACCACATTTTCATTATCTCCAGCACAATGCCAGTGTCAACATGTGAAAACTGAGCATTTCTAAGTTTTGTAGAAAATAATATAAAGTTAAAGTTCTACCCGATGACCTGATCAAAAATTAACATTTTCAAACACTATGAGATTCTCGCTGATGTAGGGAGCAAAATATCCTCTATTGGAAAAATCATTTTTTTTACTTTTAAATCCTACCCTGTGATGTCACAGAGAAGCTTTAGGACCTTATCTTTTTAAGCACAGATCATAGAAAACACGCTTTAAGTAACTAATCTGGCACCTATCAAAACACAGGTTAACCCCAAACCATTGACATGGATTTGGGCAATGTTTTCTAACACAAGCAAAATGCATAGGTGCCATTAAATCACAATCTATTGGGTTAAATCCCTCAGGCAAAGGGCATTGATCTGGGAATTTGCCTGACTTGCCCCAATTTTCTACATCATCCAGATATAACAATAATCTAAGCATTTTTTAACAAATAGGTGTGACCAGACTCTACCTCTCTGAGTGCATTTCTTATCATCCCATATTACAGGGGTGAATGAGTTCACACTAAAGACAATGTGCCCTACCCCCTCAATGGTTTTAACTGTCAGAGGGGTGACACTGACCTATATGGACCGAGGTCCACAAAGCAGATTTAAAACTGAAGACCCCATCAATGTCTTCTGCAAACAATGAAAACATTCAATGGGGACCGGTCTTTAAACCTGCCATTGTTAATGTCACACTGGAGCACAGATTAACAGCCCATATATACCCATAGAAAGATTACAACAATAATAGTATTTCATACTCGACTTAATTATTATGTATCAGTCCTGTCCTTGTAATATGGTAGCCTACCAACCAGATTGTATAAAAAGTGAAAACGGATGACTTTGTGGCGACTTGTAACAAGTCTTCACCAATGACAGAAAGAGAAGACAGAACACGTGACAGGGGTTAAAGGGAACGGCAACATTGTAGCCACCAAAAACAGGTCCTTTCAAAATTCAAGAGCTCTGTAAATTGAAAGTGTTGCAACTAACAATAGTTAAAATGTATCGTTTTTTAATCCAACACAACATGTTAGACCTATTACTATGGACGTTTTTCAGTCAAAACACGGGTCACACTTGAAATGTGTCGAATGCAACATGCCACGCGGCCATAATTGGAAGTTACCAAACCTGCTGTGAAAGATGTATCCTTTTTAGCTAATACCGTACCATTTCACCTAACTAACGCCCACGTTTTGGTAATCGGTGAATGAGTGAGCTACCGTGTCTTGCATGGTGGTAGGCTAATAACTTACTAAAATATATCCTGTAGTCAGAGGAGTTCGGTCGTCCTCGCTCTTCGGTTTGATAATGCATTGTTTTGATCCGATAGGAGGTAATTGCTTGTGTGACAAGCTCGCTTTTAAAGGCAGTATGCGAACCAAGAAATGCCGATGTGTACCGTAGCGAAGAGCGCAGAAGCAAACGCATTATAGCGGCTTGTTTTCATTTAGGTCCTGCTTCCGGTTGAATATTTCCCCACGTCGGTGCTGCGTTGCTCTTGAATGTGTTCCTACCTTATCTTTTACCGCCCCCTATGTGCAGCCAAGGTCATTCCTCAGGGGAAGGAGAACATGGAAGACGCAGGAGACCTTTGCCAAAAGAAAATGGCTGACATCCATCAATGGGAGAATGTAGACTTGTCTTGTGTCAGTGTTAATGACTGTGTTGGTCGACGTGGCTCTGTCTGTTGATGTGTTGAATCACATTTGTGTTTGTAGTAGTGAATACAATGCAGCCAAGACAACCCCTGTTCAATAAAACATTGTAAAGTTACAGATATGGCCACTAACTGGGCCCAAATACTCTATCAATCACTTTCTCATCCTCAAATGATATGTGCAGCAATTGACAAACAATTGATGATTGGTGGTATTATCTTATTTCTCTTTGAGTACAAAGATCTCTCTTTAAAAAAAATAGGGACTATTTACGACACACTACTTAACCATTGTGACCCTGAGAGGTGCTGAACTCTGACCTTGAGGTCGACGTCAGAGTAGATGGTGATCTCCCTCAGCACGTCGCTCACTAAGTTGTCCCTGCGTACGTGGAGCACCAGGAAGGGGTTCCGTGCCAGGAGGGGTTCCAGCGTCAGCAGCATGAAAACATTATGCAGGTTGGCCCCGTTCACCGCCATCTTGGAAAAGGTCACAGACAGGGGATATCGATTAAAAAAATATGTCCACCCACCCTCCAGTGTAGGAGAGGTGGAAATCATTTGTAATTTTGTTTTACATAAAGTGTTGAAAAAACATAAAAGTACAATAAAAAATACAATTACAGGCATGGGGTCTATTCATTATGCCGATTCTGTTGCAAAACAATTTGTCTGTTGCAAAACATTTAGTTTTTTCATAATTAGGCTACTAATTACACATTATAAACTGGGTGGTTCGAGCCCTGAATGCTGATTCGCTGAAAGTCGTGGTACATCAGACCGTATACCACGGGTATGACAAACATTTATTTTTACTGTTCTAATTGCGTTTGTAACCAGTTCACAATAGCAATAAGGCACCTCGGGGGTTTGTGGGATATGGCCAATATACCACGGCTAAGGGCTGTATCCAGGCACTCTGCGTTGCATCGTGTGTAACAACAGCCCTTAGCCGTGGTATATTGGCCATATACCACACCCCCTCGTGCCTTATTGCTTAAATAACACATTCATACCATTTCATTTCACAATGGTAGTTTCTTAGGCTATATTTTCGGCTGATAGGTGTTCCTTAAAGCTGTGACACTGACAACTCTAGTCCTTCAAATCCCCAGCGTCCAATCTTCTAGCTGTCTAATCTGCCTACTAGTTTCTGAACCTCCTTCAAGCGACGGGGCCCTCCTTATGGTCACCATAGTAACGGCCCTATCTGGCTTTGTAGCCCCCTCGCTTTTGTGTTTCTCATCTCTAGCACATCCTGAATGGTGTAATGCTTCTGGAAGCTAGTAATTAAGCTGGCGAAGCCACAGAGACCAAAGTCCTTATCTGCTGTTTTTGTGCCCAGCTAGCGCTCTTCGATAAACAAACACCCACACCAGCCATTTCAGCGTTTCTCCCTCCCCTCAGTCTTCTTTTATTGTCATATTTATTGCCTCGCAGGTTGTTCAAACAAAAGATGCACACATCAATGCTATAAACACAAGCGGGTGGTAGGCTAAGCTGCACCCGTCCTTGGTTTGACATCTCAAAGTGTATCCATGTTCATAAATAGGCTATTGACATTTTTTGCAGGTTTTAAAGCTTATTTCCTGCAATTCTACACATTTTGTCATGAGGTGCAGAGAACATTTTGCAGTATTAAAGCTAATTTTCTTGCAATTCTATACTTTGAGTGACTCAAACATTACAACAAAATCTATGGGATAAAAAAACCTTGCTAAAACATGTTAGCTGACATGGGCTAGTTGATCATTTTACATTTCTGACAAGTTATAAACAGCTCTCTAAGGTATGCAATGACTGACATGACAAGCGGATTCTACTAGTGCATTCTACTATTAACATTTTCAAGAGTAAGTTGGAAGCCGGACTGAGTTCCACATTTTTTAAAATGTTATAAGTCTTTAGGCTCAAAGGGATATTCAATGTCTGCTTTTTTATTTTGACCAATCTACCAATAGGTGCCCTTCTCTGCGAGGCATTGGAAAACCTCCCTGGTCTTTTTGGTTGAATCTGTGTTTGAAGTTCACTGCTCGACTGAGGGACCTTACAGATAATTGAGGTAGTCATTCAAAAAAGCACACTATTATTGCACACAGAGTGAGTCCATGCAACTTATTATGTGACTTGTTAAGCACATTTTTACTCCTGAACGTATTTAGGCTTGCCATAACAAAGGGGTTGAATACTTATTGACTCAAGACATTTCAGCTTTTAATTTGTAATTAATTTATACAAAATTCTACAAACACAATTCCACTTTGACATTATGGGTTATTGTTTATAGGCCAGTGACAAAAAAGTCTACATTTAATCCATTTTAATTTCAGGCTATAACACAACAAAATGTTGAAAAAGTCAAGGGGTGTTAATACTTTCTGAAGGCACTGTACTTTAATCACAACAAACACAGATTCATTGATTGACTTTGACCCATATAGAGGTCTTCAGTAACCTGTTGGAGGGAGTCACATGAGACATAGATGCGGTAAAGAGGTCATTGGAACGCAGACAGCGGGGGATAGAAGAAGGACGCCGGATTGGCGCACCTTCAACAAATGTGATCTAACAAAGTGGATATTCGTCAAATGACTCATGATTGATGTATTGGAACAAGTCCACAATGTGGTTACTAAAGACTGATTTTGATATATTTGGCTGTTTTCACTGCATAACATTTCAGACTGATCTAATAGACTAGATGTAACATAGTAAATGTAAATCCGGGACACTCAAATTAGTATGATACAGTATGTTACATTTGGTACGGTTACATAAGATAGAAGGTTACATAAGGCAAAAGCTAAAGGAAAGTGGTTGGTCGGGGTGCATAGGTGGCCGTATAATACAAATGTCTAGCAACCCAAAGGTTGCATGTTCGAATCTCATCACGGACAACTTTAGCTAATTAGCAACTACTTACTACTTTTTAGCTACTTTGCAACTACTTAGCATGTTAGCTAACCCTTCCCCTAACCCTAACCCTTTTAGCTAACCCTTCCCCTAACCTTAACCTTAACTCCTAATCCCTAGAGCTAGCTATTGTTAGGGCTAGCCACCTAGCTAACGTACGTTTTGCAAATTCATAACTCCCGAGTGGCGCAGTGGTCTAAGGTACTGCATCGCAGTGCTAGCTGTGCCACTAGAGATCCTGGTTCGAATCCAGGCTCTGTCGTAGCCGGCCGCGACCGGGCGACCCATGGGGCGGCGCACAATTGGCCCAGCGTTGTGTAGGGGAGGGAATGGCCGGCAGGGATGTAGCTCAGTTGGTAGAGCATGGCGTTTGCAATGCCAGGGTTGTGGGTTCGATTCCCACGGGGGGCCAGTATTTAAAATATGCACTCACTAACTGTAAGTCGCTCTGGATAAGAGTGTCTACTAAAATGTAAAAAAACATTTTGTAACATATTGTACAAATTACAATTTGTAACATACCATATGAAACGTAACATTTCATGCTAAATGGAGTGTCTCGGATTTACGTACAGAATAATACAAAATACTCTGAGACCACGTTGAACATTTAGAAGTAGTCCCTTTTCAGGTTTAGAAGAAGTGACTGCTAAATGCTAACTCCTGTTCGTATAAGCTGGTAGCATAGCTAGCATAGAGAAATTGGTGGTGGTAGTCAAAGCCATTTTTAACTGTAATGCAGTTGATTGGGACGATGACATGAACATGTATTGGGGTTGACATCCATACAAGCATTATACTCTGATTTTTACCTCAATATAGTGTGAAATACACATGTAAACAATAGCCTAAATGTAGGCTAATTTTGCTGTGGGGCAATGAGGAGATGTGGGAATCTTTCCCCCACGGCATCTTTCCCCCACGCGTTTCCATTGCATTTCCATTGTTCTGGTCGAGTTCCATTGACCTCTTTACTGCATCTATTGTGTGTTTTATCTTGAGTTTGTTCGTATATGGACGTGATTCACTTTTCTTGACAATCCCTTTCTCTCATGTGTGAAGTCATTGTAGCCAGTCTCTCTTTGAGCAGCATAGCAGCCCCATGCCAAGCCGGAACCTCAGTCCACACCCATGGTTACCTAACTTCCACAAGCTCCCTCAGGGCATATGAACTTCAGCAGACTGAACAGGCTTGGCACACAAGGGGAAAGAATTATTCTGGAATAAATAAAAAAATCAGGATGACGTCATTCAACCTGATGTGTAATGTTTACTATGTTTATTTTAATACTCTGAGTCCATGTTACTTTATTGTATGTCACTTTGTTGATCTTGATAAATAAATCAAAGTCAAGTGATTATTTATCATGCATATGCCTTTGTTTTTTTCAGTTCTGTATGTTTTCACATTTCTCTTAACATTGTTTTGTAAAAGCTGCATTTATTCTTTTTTGGGGGTTACAGACGTATGAGGCAAATGTAATTCAGAGGTACAAACAGTCTCTACGCTGTCTCTAAATTGTCAAGAAGATGGAGTTGGAGTTGAGTATCAATGGAGTCGATTAGACTTTTTAGAGGGAGGAACACAGTCTAATGGAGGACTAACGGGTGTCCTACATCACACTACACGGTGAGGTGGAAACACAATATGAGCCTTTATTGCCCTGTGCTTCAGTGGGGAGGGAAATGATGCCTCCATTCATTGTCTTCTCACTATGGAATGCACTTTCTGTCTAGAAATCATTGTAGTAGTTTATTGTTGTATGTGATATACCTGTTGAACCAGATCTGGCTGAAGTATGAAAGAGAATGCATTGTTGGGTTGTTGCATTGTTGCGTTGTGGTATTTTTGAGTTCGCAAGAAAGGCATTTCACTGTACTTGTGCATGTGACATTAAAACTTGAAACTTAAAACTAATGTATGGCAGTTTTATCAGCAGAGTGAGAACCTTGTGTATTATTGTGTTCCTGTGATCATATCATTTTGTAGGTTAAAATAACATTTGTTTTTCAGATTGGCTCATTCATTTACTAGACATAGTGTATAGAGTAAATTATGTTTAAACTACACTATTATGCCCCTCTCTCTTTCTCTCAAGTGCAGTCAGTGCTTCATGACTGTTGCTTTCAATGTTTTCTGTAGCTTGTCTTAACTACATAAGCTGACGTATCGGCTAGCCCAGCCGATTAGGAATGGTCAACACAGGTCCAATGCTGTACGCAGGTGAGTATACAGACTTTAAAACCCTCCTCCTTCCTCACTGTGCACTTTGACCTGTTGTTTTGTACTCTCATTTTAATCCCCTATTTGCTTCGCTGTAGTTTAGAAGAGCGTTGACCTATAAAGGTAAGCAAGTCACTTTTTTCAACCACCTTTTCATCATTGTTAATATACAGTATGGTTAGGACCAGGTTTCTTTGTGACCTCACCAGGAAAAACTCTGGGCCCTAGTTATAGCTTGTAGCCCTCCTGGACCCACTTTAAGCGGTATCTTCAAAATGTCTCTATTATGAAGAATATACTGTATATTGGTGAACATTTTATCGTCTTTATAAGTGGATTCTGTGCATTCTGTTTTTATCCTTCAATACTTATCTGCCTAAAGTGCAGCATCTGTTGCAATGAATCACTTAATGGACATTTGAATAGATTTATTTTCACAGCAACCCACTTGTTGAATTCATGCATCTAATTTTACAGTTGGTGGAAAATAACGATCTCATGAACATGGATGAGGGATTCCTTGAGATCTCAGCAATAAAGATCATCTATTGGTTATATATTTGATGTATTTTTGTTGTATGTGTGTTCTGAATGGTAAACACCTTTAGATATAGACCCCAGGTTCTGCAAATGGAAGAAAAACAATAACCATCATTTACATTACAAATAAAATGTACAAACGCTGTCTCATTGTCTTGACGCATACTGTAGCCGATGTAATATCTATAGTTTTCCATGCAGTGTTTTGCTTTGCATGTTGTCCCCCGAGGACCTTCTCTTTAGTAAAACCAAAATAATACATTTGTTAGTGGTCATAGTCCCACTATCCTCCACTCCTCCCTTCTCATCCCTCTATCTCTCTCTAGATACAGGTGTTCCCGGGGAGGTTGCAATGCACAGCAGTGGAGGGTGCAGGGCCATGAAATACAGCAGTGGAGGGGGCATGACCACAGAGCTCTCCTGTGACAGGTATGGCAGGGCAGTAGCCTGGGAGGGGGAGGGGCCACAGAGCTCTCCTGTGACAGGTACGTCAGGGCAGGAGCCTGTGAGGGGGAGGGGCCACAGAGCTCTCCTGTGACAGGTATGGCATTGCAGGAACCTGGGAGGGAGGGAGGCCACATAGCTCTCCTGTGACAGGTGCGGCAGGGCAGGAGCCTGTGAGGGGGAGGGGCCACAGAGCTCTCCTGTGACAGGTACGTCAGGGCAGGAGCCTGGGAGAAGGAGGGGCCACAGTACCTGTGTGGCGTTGGCAGTAGTGCACTACAGTACACCTGTTGCACTTCTCAGGCTCTCTCTTTCTCCCTCCCTCTCTCCCTCTCTCTTTCTCCCTGGCTGGACAGAGAGCACCGGGGGAGAAGAAGAAGAGGGCCTCTTGGTCGCCATGGATCCCAACAAGGAGGCCAACAACGGCAGTGAGAAAGAGAAGGAGAAGGAAAAAGACAAAGTCATCAAGAGGAGAACCAGGCCTAACTTTCTGCGGTACATGCACTTGGAGAGGAGGAAGACGGACACCATCGTGGTGGCCAACGATGACACTGCCGCCGACATTAAAGGGGACATCAATCTGGGGACCCTGGTGCGGAGGAGTCAGTCGGACAAGACAGAGTACAGTGCCAAACTTAAAGGTAATTGGATCCCCTGAGGTCATAACTATGGCAACTAGTAACTCTACAGGTTAGCTATATCTCAAAGCTTCCTGTTGGCTTGAACGATAGTAAGTTCTGCTCCTGTTCTTTGTAAAAGAAAAGGTGACACTTTACTTGGATCAGCATGTCTGTTGACTTTCAACAGGGAAGCATTTATAGACGTTCAGCAAATCAACGGTAGTGTGTCATAGATTCCAGAGGAACACGTGTGACTCGAGGGAGAAAGCCAGATAGACGAAGGGCACTGTAGCTATGGATGTTTCTGCCCAGCACCTGTTGTGTTGTTATGTGACAGAGGGAGCACCAAGCTATTCCCGCAGGGATGAGGTCACATATGCAAACCGTGCTCCAACCGAGCCACAGCAGCCTGACAGCACAGAGGAGGGGCTATAGCTACAGGCCTGGTATTAAACAAGATAAGGAAACCTATTATGAGTGAACTACAATGGGGCTTCTATCACTGATTGAAGCATTTAATTATTAAACCAGTGTGTGGTCTCTGAGACTTTAAAGGGGAAATGTGAACATACAGAAATATGAACACGTGTCATCACCAGTGTTACTACCGTGCTACTATAGCCTAAACTATGTCTAGGTGGCTGTCACCACATGGTCAGCCTTCACATTCACTAAAGTCAAATTCGTATACAATTATCATAACAGTTTTTATTTTAACACAATCTGGGTTCAAAATTGAACAAAAGTATTGTTACTGGTCATCATAATAAAGGCTATATGGAGACTCCTGACCTGCAAACCAATATTTAATTTCACAATTGGTTAAAATTAGGTTACGGTCAGGGTTAAGGTCAGGGTTAAGGTCAGGGTTAAGGTCAGGGTACGCAGTGTCCTTTTAGCCTCTCCCACTTTCCCCAGACAGTCAGCCTGTCTCATCAGCAGTTCAGGAAAACTCACCTCACCTGTCCTTCCTCCACTGCATTACATTAGATGTTGTCACGCACTTGGAATGTAGACCTTCAGGCGCAGGTTTACATTTATTGGGATGAATCTTGTCCCGGAGGCAGGACTGCAAAATTGACTACATAATGTAAAAATTCATGACATTTAAAAAAAACTATAATTTAAGGTTAGGGTTAAGCATAAGGTTAGCAGTGTGGTTAGGGTTAGATTTAAAATAAGATTTTATGACTTTGTGGCTGTGCCAGCTAGTGACCACCCTGCAGAGCTGCTTCCAGTATGAGTCATCCCAATAAATGCCAACCAGCCAAGTAGTCACTGGCAGCCTGACAGAAAATAAGAGGTTAACTATGTAGAGATTCTTGTGCCACTAGTTCTGTAAGTTTCCTCTACAAGGGAACAATGGACACCCACACTTCTGCTAATGTCAATTAGGGGCATTAGTTTAGACAGTTAAACAATGCCGTCAATCTCCCATCTAACCAAGCAAAAGAGCCATTTAAACTCTTTTTGTATTATAATGACATGCTGAATAGGACACACTTGCCCTATCAGCACACCTACTGTTGACCTGAAACACTGAGACACCCTATTCCCTATATAGTGCACTACTTTTGACCAGGGCCCATGGGGATCTGGTCAAATGTAGTGAATAGGGTGTGATGTAGGACACTCCTTGTCCTGTCAGCACGTCCTCTGTTTACCTGAAACACAGGCACTCATTGCCTATCATCACTTTCTATTTTCTTGACTTGTGCCCAAGGACCAGCGTCACAACTCAGTTGTCAAACAGCTGATTGTTTTCAGTAAACTGATTGCCACCGCCACCGCCCACTTTAAAGGATTTCTCCCTCACGCTAAACGAGCTGCCTTGAGTATAAGTGTACAGGGACATTGCAAATATTGACATAATGATGGCTTCACCATCTAAATGGAGAAGTGTGTGAGTTGTTCCTGTACACTGAGTTCTAGTCTAGCAGTCTGTCTGCTGTGAAACAGGTTGAACAAGCCTGGCCTCAAGGTCCATAGCAACCAGAAGTTATGGTCAGTCACAAAGCGTTACCACCCTGATATGACATTGCACACTGGCTAGTGTCATACAGTAATTCACCTCCTCAGTTTATAGTGAGTTATTGAAATCTGTGAACAGTCATCCACAACCCAAACATTCATAAGACAAACTGGTCAATTGGTATGCATGACCTGTGTGTGTCTTTGTGTGTGTGTGTGTGCGTGTTGTGTGTGCGTGCGTACCTGCGTGTGTGTGTGTGTGTGTGTGTGAATTGCCTCAACAATGGCCTTTTGTGTCTTGTTATTGGATCAGATAGTGTGTCCGTACTACGGGGGACACAGAGCCCCTATCAACCAAGCTACTGTCCTCAGGCCAAGCTCTCACCTATGGGCCATTAGGAGGGAATAGGAGGCACCAGCTACTTACACCACAATACACTACACTACAGTACAGTACACCACAATACACTACAGTACAGTACACTACACTACACGTACACAGTACACTACAGTACACTACAGTACAGTACACTACACTACACTACACTACACAGTACAGTACAGTACAGTACACTACAGTACAGTACAGTACAGTACAGTACAATACATACCCACAATACACTACAGTACAGTACAGTACAGTACAGTACAGTACACTACAGTACAGTACAGTACAGTACACTACAGTACAGTACAATACACCACAATACACCACAATACACTACAGTACAGTACATTACACTACACTACACTACAGTACAGTACAGTACAGTACAGCTACACTACAGTACAGTACACTAGAGTACAGTACAGTAGGACAGTACTGTGATACTGGATCCAAACACCACTCAGTGTGGTATCCTATACAAACCCCAGCTAACCCCAAAGCCAGTCGTTTAATAACTGCTTCAGCCGTTAGCGTTGGCCCTCTCGTCCTTCCTAAGAGGCACCACCTCTATTCCCCTAATGTACTTGAACTCAGTCCTTTCCTCAATGGCATTCTCAATCCTATTGTATTCTGCAGGGTGGTGACCGGGGGGGTCTAACGTGTCGTTTTTCCTCGTGGCGATACGTGATCCGTCAGGGTCCTTGTTTTCCAAGGCCTTCCGTACGTTAGATCGTTTTCAATGGCCAAGCCTAGTGAAAGGGCTGGCGTATCCGCTTTCATGGGAACTCCTGCGCCTGCAACCAAACCAGTATAATACAGCAGCATAATGGGGGCCAATGGGAGGACTTAGACCATTACATTATGGCTCTATCAAACACTGACCTGTGATATGACTATATGGTGATAGAAGTGCTTCATTTAACAATATGCTGGTCCTCTTTTGTGGAGCTGTTTTATTTCAATAACTCAGGTTTTACCCAGGCAGGGAGCTAGGCTAGAAGGTCACAGGTTTTACCCAGGCAGGGAGCTTGGCTAGAAGGTCACAGGTTTTACCCAGGCAGGGAGCTTGGCTAGAAGGTCACAGGTTTTACCCAGGCAGGGAGCTTGGCTAGAAGGTCACAGGTTTTACCCAGGCAGGGAGCTTGGCTAGAAGGTCACAGGTCTTACCCAGGCAGGGAGCTTGGCTAGAAGGTCACAGGTTTTACCCAGGCAGGGAGCTTGGCTAGAAGGTCACAGGTCTTACCCAGGCAGGGAGCTTGGCTAGAAGGTCGCAGGTTTTACCCAGGCAGGGAGCTTGGCTAGAAGGTCGCAGGTTTTACCCAGGCAGGGAGCTTGGCTAGAAGGTCACAGGTTTTACCCAGGCAGGGAGCTTGGCTAGAAGGTCACAGGTTTACCCAGCCGGAGCTTGCTAGAAGGTCTCAGGTTTTACCCAGGCAGGGAGCTTGGCTAGAAGGTCACAGGTTTTACCCAGGCAGGGAGCTATGCTAGAAGGTCCACAGGTCTTACCCAGGCAGGGAGCTAGGCTAGAAGGTCACAGGTCTTACCCAGGCAGGGAGCTAGGCTAGAAGGTCACAGGTCTTACCCAGGCAGGGAGCTTGGCTAGAAGGTCACAGGTCTTACCCAGGCAGGGAGCTAGGCTAGAAGGTCACAGGTTTTACCAGGCAGGGAGCTTGGCTAGAAGGTCACAGGTTTTACCCAGGCAGGGAGCTTGGCTAGAAGGTCACAGGTTTTACCCAGGCAGGGAGCTTGGCTAAAAGGTACTCAGCCCTGCTGCTGAATCTGCACTTTATGCCAGTTTTCTCACGGGTAGAGGTTTTCACTTGCAGCATAGTCTCTTGAATAGCCATTATACTGTATGTCAGATGTTATGTTGTAATGCGACACGTTTCATTCACATTTATTTAAATTTGAACGCTTTATTTTAATGAATTAACATGGTTCACTTTTACGTGATGTCAAGCCATTTTAATTGCTACAACAATATAGTAATTGACCACTATTCTTTTAGGGAGAATTGTAAAGTATTATATTTTTGACAAGGGGACTGAAATGTGCAGGCCATTGAAACCTGATAGCCAGGAGGGGTGAAGGTGTCCATTTAGCTTTTTGCAGCTTTAGAGGGCTTGACATGTTATTATGTTCTCCTACCCTTCACCATCATGTCCTCATTCCACCTCTCTGTGAATAATGGTCAAATAGCTCTCCAAAGTCAAAGCTTTTGAATGTTACGTTTTTTAATACCTCATGTATACAAGTGAATGCCAGGGGCGTGTTGACATGAATGCACTGGTAGGAGTGTGAGACTGAGAGGTGGGGAAGAGGGGGAAGGGGTGGGTTGTGAGGTGATAGGACGGGCGGTGGGTGTGGAATGTGTACGCATTATGCATGTATGAGTGTGGTGTGGTGTGGTGTGGTGTGTGGGTGTTTGTGCGTCAGATTTTTGTTGACTGTCTTGATGTGTGCTGGGGGTGGGGTTGAGGTTGGGTTGTGTAGCGGGATGGCGTGTGTGTGTGTGTGTGTGTGTGTGTGTGTGTGTGTGTGTGTGTGTATGTGTATGTGTATGTGTATGTGTCAGGTGCATCCCCCAGCTGGAGCAGATGGAATGCCTGCACACATTTAGTTCAGTAACCTGACACAGCACTCTCTTCCTCCTTCCACTCTCTGTCTCTTTCTCTCTCTCTCTCTCTCCCTCTTTCTCTCCATCTCTCTTCTCTCTCTTCCCCCCACACCCTCTCTCTCTCTTCCTCTCTCTCTCTCTCGCCCCTCTTTTTCTCTTCCCTCTTCACTCTCTCAATCTCTCTCCCGGAGAGGGGGAAGTGATGTGTTGAGGTCGATTAGGCGGCAGACGCGGAAAGCAAACATCTCCCTTCCCTGAACACACACTTACCTCCTCGTCACACACACACACACACACACAGTCTCTCTCCTCACCCGCCATGCAATGCACCGCCAGCTAGGGACTGACTAGGGGGAGCAGGGCGATAATAAAAAGAGGGAAAAAAGAAAGGATGAGAAAAGAGGAGAGGAACCTGACAGGCATGCTAATGGGGGCTGGTTGGCGCTCAGTCAAAACAATTAGATCAGCGTGAAACACTGGCAGAGGGTTGGGAGGGATGAAGTCAGGTGACGGTGTTGGGAGAGATGTATGTTTTCTCACGCGTGCATGCATCGCATACCGTACCCATGTATTTAAATACAACTTCATGCAGAGGGCTCTTGTACACGTGTGCTCTCTCTTTACTTTGCCAGTGAATGCATGAATAGATCATTTGATATGGCCCCTTTTGAAACAGATCTCACATTTTAATTGATGTGTAGAAATATGATGTGTAGTTAACACGTTAATTGTGTCAATGATCATGTCATATCTCACCATGTTATTGTGTTATGTCATATTTATATATTATCTGTTCAGACAGAGACTATCCAATAGGCACACATTGGTTGAATAAACGTTGTTTCCACGTCGTTGAACCAACATGGAATAGACATTGAATTGACATCTATGCCCACTGGGTATATTCTACATAGAAGAAAACCTTGCCATCCAACACACATCCTAAACGTATCCCTGTCCCCTTCTTAAGAGAAAATGGCTCCCCTGTCCTCCCTGTCGTCGATCCTGGCCTCCCCGGCCCTCGAGCCTGAGGAGGTCCGCCTGAGGAAAATGAGCCGCAGGTCAAAGGTCATCCAGGAGCTGGTGCAAACAGAGAGGGACTTCCTCACCGACCTGGAGCTCTGCATCAGAGAGGTGGTCAAGCCCCTCAGAGACAGACAGGTAATGAGGAAGTAGACAGAGTACTCAGTGGGTGATATCATCTGCTTACAGAGATACAGAGGGGTGGTTACCTTGTGCTACCTTGCTTGGTAGTGAATG